AGATACCCATAAATTTGATTGATCTGTTTTATATTCAATGTTTCAGTAGAGTTTTTTTCTGATCTGGGACAAAAAAAAAAAAAGTATGAATAAAAGTCAGAATGAAATATGAGCACTAAATGAGCAATAACAGGCATCAACATGTCTCATTGGTCATAAGAAGAATCAGATTGGGCTTTTGTTTACCTGAGAGTGAACGTTCATGTGCTGCTCCAGACTGACAGCGTGGCCAAAGGTTTTCCTGCAGATGCTGCAGCCGAAGGGCCGCATTCCACTGTGCGACCTCCTGACATGAACCTCCAGTCCATGAGGTGTCGAGAACACCTGAACAAGAAGGAGTGTGACTTAGTTTACTTTAAAAAAAAGCCTTAAAACAACAAAAAGGCGGTTTTCAAATATTAATTTTCTTTATAGTGGGAAAATCCACTGAAACCTTGTTTAGATCATTTCAATTGGATAACCTACTTTTTTTAAATTATTATTCTGCTTTATTTTTTCCTAGTCAAAGTCTAGAATCAATTTCACTTGGGATGATGTTACATAGACTGAACAAAAAGTCCAGGAATCAGGTCAATTCTGCAAAGCAGAAACGACTGTAAGTCCTCCACGTTGATGTGAAACCATCTGTACCTCTAAACCAAATGTTTGATGTCAGTTATTACACAGTAAATTCCACAGTGTTAAATATGCAGTGTAAAATTACATGGACTCTGTTAGAGTTATTACAACAGCGACTGGAGTAGAGTTCTAATTTAACACTAATTCCAAGTAGGACCAAATGCACTCTTAAAGTGTAATACTTCAAATTTTACTGTGTAGGAAGATTGGCAAAAAAAAAAAAAACTGGTTAGATTTACTTTTCATAAATGATGACATTGGTTTGAATTTATTATTTTCTAAATCAGATGAAATTGTAATTTAAACTCTGATTTTAATATTGTGATCTTTATTTTATTTAAAAAAACTCCTACAAAATTAAGCAGGTCAACACTGTTCCACATGACTGTATTTGATTTGATTTAAAAAGGATGTATTTTAACCTAAAGATGCACGCTGCATTTTTTAGAAAAGCTGTCTTGTTGCCTACTTTATCACAGGTGATGCAGTGGTAGGTGCTGGAGGTGGGGGAGTAGTGCCTGCTGCAGTCCAGGGGCTGCTGTGGGGGTGGACTGCGGCTTATGTGGCCGCCGTACAGGCTGCTGGCATGCTGCAGGACCGTGGGGCTGAAACTCAGCTGCCGGAGCTCATAGGAGGAGGACACTGGCTCCCAGGCATAAGAAGGCTTGTAGTAAGGTGGAAACTCAGCCATGTGAGGCTCTAAAAAAAGAGAGAACATGCTTAATGCTCTGCTTTGAAGTCTAATGTACACCTTGTCTGCTTTAATACTAACCTGTAAGGTAGTAGGGCTGTGAGGGGGGCACTGCTGGGCTGGTTGGCTCTGGATGACCAGGTAAGGGACACTGAGGCTCTGAATCCTCCTGCTGAGGAGAGCAATGGTCTGCAGAGGGGTGCCTCCCCTCAGAAAGGGGCCCCTCTAATGATTGTGGGCTCTGAACCTTGGATGGGACCTCTGATACAAACACAAGAAATAAAATTCGGATTCATGCAAACTAAAAAATTTTTCTCTTAAATAAAATAAAAACAATAAAAACAATTGCAGCTCATTTTCTTTAAATTATTATTTAACAGTTTAATTAAAGCCTATCAAATTAAATGAGCAAAATATCTGCTTTTATTTTTGATTATTGAGCTATTATTAATTCTTTCAGGTATTCAGATAAAGTCTTACCAGCATCTTCTGAGGTGGTAGGATCTTCTACATAGGTGCGATGAATGTTATATGAGGCGCACCTTTTGTTTTTCACCAGAAATGACCGCGGCATGTTGATTCTGCGACGGAAAAACATTAATAATATATTACATCTGTTTTAAGTTAAAGGATGTAATAGATTATCTTCGAATTTAGTATGAATAAATAGCTAAGCATATTAAATTAAATATTCTTGAAAATTTAACTACGGTTTAAGCATTTTACAAGTTATTTTATTGTTAGATCTATTCTGTGATGCTTTCTGTTAAATTGATCCATAGTTTAAAAGAAAAGTGTTACAGGTGGCATCAACTCACCGTTAGCTGAGCAATGTCCTCTCCTAAATAAATGAAAATAAGAACTTTATTCCCTGTTGATTCAGTCAGATCCAAAACGCGATGCAGGGAAATAAGGAGAAAGAAATCCGTTCCTTAAAAGTTGGAGAAGTAAAGCAGAGTAAGAAGCATCATCGGACTCACCGTTCGCTCTTTTTCTCTCCTCCCTGATTTTCAATCAGATAACTTCGCAGGGGAATCTGACTGTGGTTTCAGCCAATGAAAAGGCCAAGCTGCAGTTGGAAATTTGCTTAGAAAAACAGCGGCCTTCGGAACAGTTATACAAAACAGCTGAAGGGGGGGAGAAGATCTGAGGAAATGCATCCTGAAAAAAAAAAAATGTTACAAAACGTTCAAATTTGGTTTTAAAAATGCTAATTTAAACAATGCTAATACATTTTAACTTTTTTAAATGCAGAAAAAAAAAACCCCAGCAAAATGAATTTAATTAAAAGAAACCTTAACTCTCTTTGTTTGGTTTACAGGATTTAACAAAGTAAAGTTGTGTGTAAGATTTAAGAGTCTAAAGACTCCACATATACGTGGCTTAAGCACCTCCAAAGATATATACACACAGAAACCAGTCCGGGAGATTAACGAGACCTCAGTGGCCCTCTGCTGTCTAAGCACACACCTGAGTGACTGCACAGGTGCTGTGGTTACACAAAGACAGGTTATTTAATGTCAAGAGAAGTTGATTTTCATCATCATCATCATCATCATCATCATCATCATCATCATCATCATATTAAAGAAAGAGTTTAATTGAAAGAAAAATTAAGCTGGAATGCTAGAAAATTAAGTTGGAATGCAAGTGCGCCATCTGGTGGAGATCTTGCAGCATAGGCTTCGTTACTTCGACTTTTTTTTTTTTTTTTTTTGTCATTTTATTTTAGAAATATTCTTTAAAAAAATTGAAAAAAGATATAGTTTGTGCTATGTGGGCCTAATATGTCCTTTAAGTACCTGAGTGGAAATTATGTATATGTGGATTCTAGAGGTCAATATTAGGACATTTTTTTCCAAAAAAAATTTTAAAATTAAAAACAGTCCACTGGACTTGGTTTCCAAGTTTGAAGATGTTTCGCTTCCCATTCAGGAAGCTTTTTCAATTCAAAATGTGAGGAATAGCATTGAGTTCAAGGTTTTATACACTAGCCCAACAATGCCTTGTTCTGTTTTGAAAACATGCAAATTGGAACAGGTGAAGGGGTCCATTTGAAATGGGGGTAGTTAGGCTTCTTTTGTTACACTGCATTACCCCATACTCATTTAAGTGTCTAACTCTCTTCTTTAAAGACTGCCTGTTTCCTTTTTTTTGGCTAAAATAGCTATATTTAAGTATTTACTGCAGTTATCTCTCAATCTTTGACATTAGCCAGATTAAAGCCCTCCCCATTTCTTTTGAGTGATTCTTGAATCTTGACATTGACAGTATAGCTACTCACCTTAACTGTACATGAGCATCAGCTTACAGGACAAGATTCAGTGCAATCCCACAAAAGACATGTAGAGGTATATTAATGATGAAAACAAAATTTGTGCTAGAAGTTAATGCTTTGTCCCACACATAACGAAACATACTGGTGGCAGTATCATACTGTGGTGTTGATTTTCTTGTTCAAATTAAAAAAGAAATGGGTAGAAAGAAAATAATGAAATAAACCCATCAATACTTCAGATCAACTGATATTTTTGTGTAAGAAAGGCCTAGTCAGGTGTCTAAAGGAAACTTTTACAGATAAATTCTCACATGATAAGTCACATTTTACTTAAACTGAGCAATTTTGCAAAGAGGAATGGATGAGATCTTCAGTACCTTGGTTTTTAAAAGGTGATAGAGACACCCTGTAAAAAGATACTGGCAACTGCAACCATAACTGAAGTTAGTACTCATAGGTTAATCCTAGCCAAATTTTAACCCGTCAGTATCAGTCCAGTATGTAAAACTGGGTTGATAATGTTAACCTATGTATATTTCCAACGTGTTGCCATTTGTGTGATTCAGTAGGAGAAGAAAAGGGGGTTTCCATTTGGCATCGACATTGGCCCAAGTTTTTTATATTGGTTTAAATCCTTAGTATCTATTCAGTGTGTCTGTATATAAATCCCAACAACACATTTTACAGCAATTTACACAAATACAGGAATCTGTGTCAATCTGTCTCATAATTTTCTAGTCAAATTAATAACGGATTAATAATTTCCCCCCAATCTGCCAATGTGGCAGAATCTAATTATTTGTTTTATTTGTTAGTGGAAATTGACATAATTTTGGATTCAGTTTTATTTTAGAATAAGTTATAAGTTATAACTCAAATTATCCCCTATCATACATTATTTACGTCAACACAGTTTCCATTCCTGAGAATACAGAAGAGGATTATGGCCACTGAAAAATATATATTATTTAACTGATTTTCAAATTTTTTTCAAAATTTTATTTCAGTTTAATATGGGAAAAATGTCAGAATTCTGACTTTTTTCTCATAATTCTGCCTTTAATTTCAGAATTAATCGCAGAATTCTGACTTTTTTCTCAGAATTCTGACATTTTTTCTCAGAACTCTGACTTTTATCTCAGAATTCTGACTAATTTCTCAGAATGCTGCCTTTAATCTCAGGATGCTGACTTTTTTTCCCTCAGAATTCTGACATTTTTTTCTCTTAGAATTCTTACTTTAATCTCGGAATTCTTACTTTTTTCCATATTAAACTGAAATGCAATTTAAAATTCAGTTATTTTTTTTATTTATTTTTTTCAGTGGCCCTAATCCTCTTCAGTAAGAAACATTTCTGTCGAATCAAATTCAATTGGGTTAAAAGAAAGAAGAGCTAAATTGCGCGTGCGCTCTTTACATGTGGGTCACGCGAAACCGCATTACACACAGTTCAGCCCTCCACCAGCAGCGATGGGAAAACAAACTTTAGCTAACCGCTAGAGATAAGAATCTGTCAGTTATAATCGTGGAAATAGAAGCTGAGTGTCGATTAAGATGCCATTTAGGAGCTGTCTTTCAGAGGGGCTGGTGAAAAAGTGGAGTCAGTGAGACGCTCCAAGTTGCGGGATTAGTTTTCTCGCAGCCTGACAGCGGAGGCGGACTGCGGTGGGATGGGCTGTGAGCTGTTCAAGATGGCGGCGCCCTGTGGAGTCAATCTACTCTAACAGGTAAACAGCTCCACTTATTTGTTAATAATCCTCTTTAATTTAAGCGAATTCGTGCTCAGATGATATTTTGTGTTAAACTTGAGCTGACCTGCCAGTTCTAACCCGGACCGAACCGGACTGACATGAAGAATAAATGTTCCTCTGAGTGTGGGTCGCTGCTCCCAGCTAACGTTAGCTGTCGGCGATGGGGTTGACTTGTGTTTTTTTTCTTCCCCTACTGGACAGACCCGATGATGGGGAGAGTTGATGTTTCATAGATTGCATCATATTTTTAGGCCGTTTTTATGATTATTGCGTCAACCCGCTGATCGGTGTGCCACAGAAAAGAAGTGTTTAGGCTTTTAGAAGCGGGTAAAGTGAAGCCATTCCTCCCCATTGTTCTCTGCGAGTTGTTTACGACAAACAGCAGCAGCCAGTGGTCAGTCTGCAAGCAGCCGCTGCTCCTCTAATGGCTGAACCGTTTTTTCAGTTAATGGATCTTAACGCATAGATTCATCTTAAACAAGCCTTCAGCTAATAATCAGCATGCTAAATCCATCATTTCTGAGGAGATGTTTTGCTAGACTTCTACATGCAGACAACAGTGTTGTGATGACTGCAGAAGCATTCAGGGTGCAAGCTCAAGATTCATTTTTTGAGTTTGGATCCTAAATGATAGATCGACACAATAGGGTTTAATAGTGAAGTGGAAGGGAAATCACACATGTAAGTGATTCGGGGTGTGTCTCTAGCTCCTTTGCTTATTTAGAGACAAACATGTTTACCTCTGTTCTTTGAATGGTGACTCCAGGGCCTCTGATTGGATGTAGAACTATGTGAAATTAAACATTTCTATGTGTCAATTAGGGGTGTAAATCAGACCGATTATGGTGATTCCATTCAATATCAATTTCCGGACCAAACGATTAGATTATTTTTGATACTCAAGAATACACCACGATTCGATTCATTGGTAATTATTTTTATTTTTTTTCCCCTTACAGGCTAGACAATGTTTCAAATTTGAAATTAATCAATGAAAGCTGGAATATTGTTGTGCGTTTTATTTGAGAAAAAACAGCAAATAACAGAAGAGGCGAAGTTGTACTCCACCTAGGGTCAGGGGTCGGCAACCCAAACTGCTCAAAGAGCCATATTGAACCAAAAAAAACAAAAAATAAATCTGTCTGGAGCTGCAAAAATGTAAGTCTTATGTATATTATGTATTATCCCACTATAAAAAAGAGGACTGTGGCCTTAAATATATAATAAGCATTCATCATTAAATGTTTATCCGGGAGCAAATGTCACATAGTAGCAAGAGGTGATGGACGAGCAGTGAACGCTCCCATCGTGTGTCCCTTCAACGTGCGGTTTAGGTTTTGTTGCATTGATGAAATTATAGAAACACAATAAAGGAATCTTTCTATGGTGGACGTGTTTCTGTTGGGAGGAGTCGATTGAGTCATGAGGAACCAAGCAGGAACTGACATCCATCAGAGCAGAGGTCTCTAACCCTGAAATTCTGCATCCTTCGTCACCATTGTTCCTTGGTGTGATTTAGATTTTTAGGATTTGGGGAAAAAATGGAAGAAAGTTCCCATACCTGCATCAGAGCGCTGCCTGTTATATCTGTGAGCGGTTTTCCATCCTTGCAACAAAACTAGCAGCAGTAGTGGAGTTTGGAGATGCAATCCACTTTGCTCTCCTCTAATTTATCCAGTTCTGCAATCGCACTTTTTCTCTCCCTCCTTCTTGGTGGTCGGCTGCATATTTAGCTTTCCCTGGAAATGCCTTTCCAAATTTGTATTTTTATTTTTTGACAACCTCTCATTACAAAGCATAAATGCAGGCAATCCTTCCGCACTGATAATGAAAGCAAATGATTCAGTCCATTCTTTGAATCCTCTTTTCTCAGCAGCTATCTTAGTTTTTTCCCCTTGGGATCCATGGTCTGAGTCACACCTGCAGCTTTGTTCGCCTGGCACCGCGCCACGCTGTTTGCAAGTTATGACCACTGATCTCTATGGCTATGATGCAAATTATTGTTTAAATTTATTTATTATACAAATGTTTACATTTGTATAATAAATAAATTTAGCCACTACTAAATCTGTGTTTAGTAGTGGCTAAAAGAAGTGAGGTAGGAGGGCAAAATGGGTTTAGCGCCACCACAGCACGGGAGTCAGAATTACATCCAGGAGCAAATGGATTAAAATAGACCGGAGGGAAACAAAACAAAACATGAATCGATACTCTTGCGGACGTGTCGATGCATCGTATTGTCAGCCGTTGAATCAATGCATTGATACTAAATGGTTATTATTTACACCCCTAGTGTCAATGCAATAATAGTTTTTACTTTGACTAAGACGTACCAACACATTAGCATGTTTTGTTCAAACCAGCTATTTGAAAAAGGATCCTCACCCAGAACCAGCATATATATGTTTTGCCCTAGTTTTTTGCTAAAATTGGAACTCTTAATTGGAATCCTGGCAAAGAGTTGAATCAATGCAGCAAATATTAGTTAAACATATACTGCAGTAAATGCACACTATAGTGAATTCTTGCAATGTATTTCCCTAATTTGTTTATACTCTATGGTAAACTTGTAAAAAGAATGCATTAGAGACATGCAAGATTCATTCATTTATTTATTTTTTTTCATGTTTTATCTATTTTCTTCCCAGTTTCCGAATAGAAAATTATTTTTATTTTTTTTAAGTAAACAATGCAGAACAACATTATCTCTGTGTAGTTAAGCATTTGGTTACACAAAGGTCATATGATCATTATAACATTCATTAACATTTTTGCATATAGCCTTTTTTTCTTTCTGGTGTTTGATATTCTTTTTGCAGAATAACAAAATTAGCTCATTTGTGGATTTGATCTAACAAACTTGAGCCTCGCTGGAAAATCAACCCCGGTTGCATAGTATACCTTTAACGGAGAGTCTCCAGACTGATCTGTGAGTGAAACCTTGAAAGCTCGCGAGATCAGGATGGTCTCACGAGGCTAGCCAATTAGGACCATTGTGGGGTTAAATGCCTTACTCAAGAAGCCAGAGTGACTGCCTGAGGTTTAAACCGACGACATTGTGACATCTCCAAGACAAAACGCTATGCTTCTCATCACCAGGCCACCGCACCCAGCATCAACTATATAGGGTTACAATGGTTTATTTGTTGGAGCTATATTTTTTGGTGTTATTTTACCAGAACGCCTTCTTCTTCTTCTTCATGTTTTGGGTCTAGATATGGGTTTTGTTCTAATGGTTTTTCGTCTTTTCACTTTTCAACAAAACAGATTTGTCAGCTGCCCTCTTGGTAGATTTTCCCACCTGTGCATCTCTGCAAAGTAACTGTGGCCCTCTCTGCTGCCCCTCTAATCAAAGCTGCCCATGCCCAACATGTCCAAACTATTTCCATCTCTTCTTTTCTCTGCTGCCATTGTTTGAGTCATTATTCTGACAGATATATTTAAAAACTGAGATTTACGTCCCTTTTTAAACCTCGGATTTAGCTAAAAGATGTAAATCTGACCATAATCCTTTCAGGTCAGCTGAACTTTATACCTCCCCATCAGAACCAGTCTAATTATTGCAGATGTAAACGTGAGAATGACCGTGGAAATTGGATCAAAAGATGCTTTAATAAAAAGTTACTTTCAAGGACATATTTTCTTAATACCCCAGATATTGCATGATTTTTCATCCTTATATGCTTTTTTCTTACTGGTTACCCTGGTGTTAAATATTGCACAGGAAAAATGATCTAGAAATGAATAAAAATGTCTTAAATTAAGTGTATTTACTCTTAATTTGAGTAGGTAAATGAGATATTTTGCCAATGAAAATAGTATTTTTAGTCTTAAAATAAGATAATTAGAGGATATGCACTTGAAATTAGAAAATGCAGTTGTGTTTTCTTATTTTAAGTGTTAATTGTCCTGTTCCATTGGCAAAATGTCTCTTTTAGCTCCTTAATCCAAGAACAAATGTACTTATTTTAAGAAAAAATGACTTATTTAGATTTTGCTTTTTCCCAGTGTGAACTTGAACTGCCGCACTAATATTAGTTCTGCCTGTGTTCTGGAATTACAAAAAACATCTACAGTACCAGTTAACAATTTCCAGTGGCGATTACAGTCAGTGACCTGGTAATAACTACAGTCTGAGAACAGTCTGGGAACTTGAACTCGGTGGATAATCCCACACTGGGAGGTCGGGGAAACGCTCAGACGGGTCTCTGTGTTCTTGCTGTTTAAAACCTCGCGTCCAAACAGCTGTAGGCTCCATCAACGAGAGGAATGGGAGTTCACCTCCAGTCATGAAGAAGCACAATAACCCAAATGTAAAGGCTTTTTAAAAGGAGCTGATCTCTGTCAGTGTGCGTCTGGGAAATAAATGAAATCCCTGGTAGAAAATGCTTGAATTCATGACCTTGATAGATTCTCAGGTAGTTCTTTTTAATTGATTGAAACAAATTATTTAATAGCTGAGAATTCTCATTCTATAATAAAAAAGCTCAAAGTTCAATGAGGCTGTGATATTAATGTCTGTCCTTCTGTCTGCCTGCGTGTTTCCTTTAACAACCTCCCCATTTTATCTGGACTTCTCAGTGGGAACAACCAACATCTTCAGCCACTCACTGTGTGAATTACAATCTTATCTTTTTCATAGTCTATTAAAGCCAAATAACATTTTTGTCTATAAAAGATGTTTTAATAAATAGAAACGATAATATTTATTTATTTTTGTCGGGGGGGGGGGGTGTTTGCATTACATCTGGCTATCTAATTCACAAATGAAAAGAATAGACTCAATGAAGGTCTTCATTACTTGATGGTACAACACTTAAAATGTGTTAAATGATAAAAGAAATGCATGATGAAGGAAATGAACCGGATACAAACTGATTGAAATGGTTTATTAATGGTGGTTTCGGTGGCATCTCAGCTGGAACTGATTATGTCCTGTTAAAATACAACAAAGGGATGATATAAGTATTGATTGTTTAAAATGTTTGAAGGCTTGTATGGGTGTGGCTTACCTCTCTCTTCCTCTGCAGGGTGTTCAGGCTAAAAGATTCCCCGGGGGCCTGAGTACCTTTTAAAGGTTCCGGAAGAGACCAAAGCAGACGGAAGGGGGGGAGCAGAGAGTTAGACATTTTATAAACTTAATGTTGGATTTGTATTTATATTGATAAAGATGTGTTTGTAGAGATGCTGAAAATGACTAGCATTGGCAATATATATTTTGAGGATTTTTGGTAGTTTGTCAAACCTTGTTTGTGTGTATGTATTTTGTTTTACCCTGTTTCTTGGTGGGTTTGTGTATTGGAACAGCCAACAACATTTTTCAAAAGATTTGAGTATTTTCTTTTTTGCTGAGGGTTGTACATCTTTAGGGCTGCTATTTATAACATGCTTCCTGTTTTCAAAGGAAGTTGGGTGAAAAAAGTGACAACAAAAAAAACAGACGTCAAAAGATTAAGATTTCAGTTAAGCCATTAAGTCAAACAGATATATTTTTTATCAGAAGCGAGGTAAGAACAGCTGTTTTTTTTTTGTTTTACATAAATTCTTTATTATTTCTTTAATGCATACAACAAAAACAACTGACATGTTCATGTGAACAACTCAAAGTTTCACCCGTTTCTTTGAATTAAATGCATTCTCTAAATCAGCAGATTTGTTTAGAATAGACAAATTTTTTGGGTATTTTTTGGTATTTTGTGTATACAAAACAAAATTTCGTTTAGTACAGCTTTTAAGACAGTAAATGAACATAAAGTGCAGCAGTGATCAAATGTAAACAGTGTGGGAGATTGGAGATTAAAGGGCAGATTAGACTTCTTCAACCACACACATCAAATGTCGCTTCGGTCTGGTCGCTATCCAGTTTTGCCAGTATGCTTCTGCACTGTCGGTCTGGAATTTCTAGGGACACACAGCAGTGTTCCGCCAAAGAACTTCGACCGATTGTACTTCCGAACCTCCTCGATTAACCTTTTGTCTTAGTTGTCCGTTGTAGTTGTTCCTCGGTTTTTAAAAATGGTGTGCCCTGGCACCGAATCCAGAAGGTCGACCACACAGACAGCCGGAACGGCATACCAAGGACCAATCGCAGCTGCTTTTTGTCTGCACAGTTCCGCTTGAGGTCTGCGCAGGTTTGCGACCGTCCGACACATAGTCAGGATTTTTTCTGAGTTGCGTGACGACGGTTGCAGAACCTCTGCGCGCGGGGGGCGTGGTCGCGCACAGACAGATTTGACGGTTGCAGAGGCTATGCGTAAAGCATAAATTAGCCTTAACGCTATCATCACACTTATGTTTTTAACATCAGACAAAGTAATATTGATGGGGTCTTCTACAAAAACGCTAATACACACGACAGAGTATATCAAACATCAGCTTAGCGGGGGACTCCATCCTCAAAGGGTTTAGTTCAATCTCTGCTCCATCACAGCGAATAAGTCATTTGTTAGCAGGCCAATGCAGAAAATGATGACAAGCAGAGGAGATAATTCAGCCATTCGGTTCAGGGATGCATCGAAATGTGGCAGGAGAGTAGATCTGAAGAGTCAAATGCTCCTGGTCTAAACTGCGGCCTGTTAAGTGGAAATGTTTTTTTTTTCTTTCTCATTGGTCAGCACAGGGTTTCCAAGCCTTTTTTGAAAAACGAAGAGATTATAGCCCCATTTACACTACCCTGTTGAAACGGTGCCAAGATCAGACCGAGCGCGGTAACCCCACAACTGAATGGGACTGAGCTAGACATAACCGACCCGTTCTAAACTGGTACTAGTTCATCAGTAGGGCTCGGTGCGGTTCAGTTCTCAGATAACAAAGAGCGAATGAGCAGACCGTGCCATCTCCTTACTAAGGATGGAACGGTTTATGCAAACCGTCCGAACCGTTCGCTTCGACTGTCTCAGTTCGATTCATGGTGTTGCATTCGGTTTATGTGCTGCTCCTTTTTCTCATTGGCGAAGCGTTTACACTCCAGAGCAGAAGGTGGCGGTACTGCGACCAAAGCGAACCAGAATTGTGTGGGTATGGCGAGTGGGAAAGAACAGGAGTTGGAAGACGCGCCAGCAGCACTTTATAGGTCTGCTGTATGGGACTAGCCTCGTGAGACCATCCTGATTTCGCGAGCTTTCAAGATTTCTCTCGCTAATCAGTCTGGAGACTCTCCTTTGAAGAAAATTTGGAGCCGTTCACCAAACGAACGTCCAATCAGCGTTGGCTTTGAGGCGGGTTGAGGTGTGATGCAACGAGAAGCGCGACAGTTCAGTCTAAAGAACATGGCGGCTTCAGCCGATGAAACTAGCGTTAGCGTGGCTATCGAGCAAGTTTTATCGGAATTACAGAGTATTTCTTCACTGAAAGAAGAGCAAAACACTGCTCTGGAGGCTTTTCTCAGAGGAAAAGATGTTTATGCTCTTCTCCCGACTGGTTTCGGCAAGAGTAGCCTGGCTTGTGGTTGTGTTTTCGTCGTCGCTCTGTTACGTCATATGCTTCGTTGATCTGATTGGTTTATTTGGCCCTTCTATCACCAACATAGGCCAATCAGCTAACCAGTATTTTCGCCACTTCCCAAAATTACTTCTACGGAAGGCTTCCAGATGGATATGCGGAGCAAATCCATCTGGCGGAGTCAGGTTAGTATGGGACCACTTTGCATTTAAAGTGACCTACGATGACGGCGGAAAGAAAGTTGTGGATTAAATTGCTACAGTGTGCAAGCATTGTGCAACACGTTTTGTTTATGCTAACAGCAACACAACCAACATGTCAGGCTAACAATCAACATATACCGAACCGAAAACCGTGACCACGAAACCGCGAACCGAACCGATTTTGTGAACCGTTCCACCCCTTCTCCTTACAGTCAGTCTCCGTAATCATGAAATTTCGGATATTCAAAAGATACAACCTTTCATACTTTGCCACATGATTTCCAGTGAGGATTCTGCTTAGCAGAATTCATTTTCTTTTAGCTTAATTATAGTCATTAAAAAACGGCACCAAGAGTTCTTGCAGTGATCAGGAAGGCTTCAAACAGTCGGGCAGTTACACAGAATTCATTTATTCAAATTCCCAAAGGAGTGTATTTATCTTTTTTATGATGCCCCTGTTTTGAATATCCAGAGGAGCAGAGCGGACTGGAACCGATAACCTCTCGCTGACTGATAAATTCAAGTCCCTTCATGGAAGCACACTGGCTGCATAAAGCTCCTTTGTTCGATTTTAAACATTCCTACTAGAGATCACATTGAATGTTCCCCATGTTTGTATCCAAGACGCTGCTGTCTCCTCTCTGCACCCGCACATCCAACCACATGAGTCAGCAGCTGATTGATAACAGAAGGACAGCTGAGCTGTGGGTAGTCCACGGGCTTAAAAACAAACTGAAGCAATATTGGGTTTATTTGTAATTGGACAAAAACAGCTGTGTGGTTCTTGTCATTATAAACGGATTTTGCATCACATGAATACTTTTTTTTGCACCAGATTAAGACGTGTTTTTGTTTGCACTGTTTGTGTTTGAGCCTAAAGCAGCTATTTCTGCTTAGATTCCAGATTCACCAAAGTTTCTTTTTTTTTTTTGCTGCTGTTAGACTTTTGAAGGGAGATCTGAGGAGCTGATGAAAGCTCTTTGTGCTGATTCATTGTTCCAGGCTGGTGAATAAGCTGCCGGCTTCAGACGCCCCGGCATTAATGACCTGCCCATCAGGATTAGACTAGAAATGTGCTGCAGATGGAGATTTGCATCCCTCCTTTGCTTTAAATGACAATCATATCTAATCTTGGGTGATGTTAGAAAAGATCCGAGTTGTTTATCAAGATCTACAGTTTCAGTTTCCCTCAAGTTTCCACCTGAGCTCTAAATAAGGTTTGATTTTTCAAAGACTTTTACATTTGCTGTGCGATTACACTCTAAATCTGTTGGATGTTCCCAGTAGTCCAACCTCCGATGGTATGGATGTCCTTTCCTTTCCTCTTCTAGGATAAGATTATAAAGTTCATCCATCATTCATACTATATCCAGCAGTCACTGAGCAAAAGGCGGTGGCCAGTTCATCACAGGACGACACAGAGGAAAAACAGGACAAGCAACCATGCACACTCTCATACCTAGGGGACATTTACAGGGTCCGGTAGTTGGGCTGTAGAAGGAAGCCAGAGAACATGACCTGGGAAGATGCAGACTCCATAAAGAACAACAGAATAAAAAATAAAACCAGTTTTTCTAATGGCAGCAAAGGCAAGAAGACAGTTGGCTGGAAAAATTTGGAATTCCTTTCCTTGTCTGCTTCTGGATTATTAGAACTAGGGTTGTGGGAAGAAATAGTTTTGGTGATATATCTCGATTTTTGGCTGCCCGATATAATATTGATCTTTCAGTTCCTAGTATTGTTTTTTTTTTTTTTTTAAAGCACATTTTTACCTAAAACTATAAGGGAAAAAGGGCTACCTCTGCACCGCCACTCTGGCAGGTGGCGCTGTGGAGTCGTTTTGCTGTGCGGCGCCGTATCTGTAGTCGAGGCAGTCACAGTGGAAGACGTAGTCTGACTGAGACCCCAAACAACATGGATACCGAAATAACTAAATGATCAATATCTTCTGATGAACATCATGAACACTTGCTTTTTTATCTCTACATTTCATTTTGATAGCAGAAAAAACATTGCAATATGCTGATAATATCATATTGTGATCCAAGTATCGCGATACATATCGCATCGCAACACCCATGTGGATACTCACCCTTAATTAGAACAATGCAAAGTGTCACAGGTTGGGTCCCACAGTGGAAGAAAGTGTCTGTTAATTAAATAACAGAATAATTAACAATTTGTCATAGAGCTGAAATGATCATGATTGATTATTGTAATAATTAAACTAATTAAGCAATCGATTAATCCTTACCTAGAGTATAGAGACGGTAAAACGTGCCTTTACCTGAAAGACAAACCATATTAGAACTATAATTATACCTTATTGTAAAAATACATGGAAACATTTTTGCATTTAAGATAAAAAAAAGGATTTTTAGATGAGGTGAAAGGTCTGGAACAACTATTTATATATACAACTAAATTGTAGCCTAAGCTAATTTATGATGCTTATGCCTACTTGATTGTTTGGTCAAATGAAAACATTAGGTTTTAAATATTAAAGTTAGAGCTTTGTTTTATTTCTACAGATGAGTAAAAATACAAACAGAACCATCATAACAGGTCTGTTTCACCCTCCAACCTCTACTTAAAGCCACCTCGGTGCACAATTAGTGAAAATACCAAATTAATGATGATTTAATTTTTGAGAAAAAGACAACTAGCTGACTGTGTGCGGAAATGAGACTAGAAACTGTTGTACTCTAGATTTGAAATGTTAGGAAAAGACAATTTTAATTTGATTACTTTGTAAAAACAGAAGCGTTTTGTTCTTGTTTAGAGCTTTTTAAAGGCTAGTTCGCTATTTTCTGTCCAGCCTTTTATATAATATTGTTTGTATTTGTACTTTTAGAGATGAAAAAATTGGAGGACAGAAGGATAAGTGTTAAATCTATTAATTAAATCTTTCTGGATATTTATTCTGAATTGGCAGAGGTGCCTGGAGACTGTATTGGTGGGCGGGCCCCAGGAGTCCTCCAGGCAAGCCGGGACTGACACTGTGAGAGAGAAGCGGCCTCCACCTCAAACACTGCCACCCCCACCATGGCTAGGGAGCAACCCAACGTCGGGGATCTCCTCCCGCTCTTGGAGACCTCTGACCTCCAAGAGCTCGAAGAGATCCGAAGCCTTATCAACGAGCAGCTCAGCACCGGTTGGGCCATTTTGGCACAGCATCAAACTAGATGCTTTAAAGAAAAGTCAAATAACATTTTGCTTAGAAACTAGTTAAAAATGTCCTTGTTGCTTTCCTTTCAGAGCGAGGCTCCATGCTCTTGAACAGCTTGGTGGATTACTTTTTGGAAACCAACTCCACCCAGGCCTTGCATATCCTTTCCTCAGTCAGAGAGCCACATGATAAGGTGAGAACCATCCCAAAGAAATTTAGAAACTTTCTTAAAGTAAAGCTGTAAGCATAGAAGAAATATTATTGATGACATCAAATGAACGATGCTAATTCTCAATCTGTTGTGCTTTTACTTATTTTTTTAATGTTTTATTTTTGTATTAAAACCAGGGTTCCCACGGGTCCTTAAAAAGTCTTAAAAGGCATTGAATTCTTCAAAATAAAACTAAGGCCTTAATTGGTATTAAATGTCTTAAATCAGTCTTTCGTAAGTCTTTATTTTTAAAACATCATAAGTAATTTTTGTAATCTAAATAAAACATTAAAATTGACATTTTTTTTTTTATTTAAAAAAAATAACGGCTTGCCATTATTGGTTCCGTCCCGATAGCGGAACCAATACAAGCGTTGTTGCGGCCGGGACATTTGGGAGATGCACCATCAACTTTTTGTCTGGAAAATATGAGCAAGTGTAAATGTAACAAAAATTGGCTCCAGCCAAGAGTTTTCTCCATGGCTAAAACCAGGGAACATACATGAGGCTCAGTGGATTTTGTGCAAGAAGTCATTCAAGCTCGGAACGATGGGAATTAAGGCAGTGGAGTCACATGCGAAGCGCGAAACACAAATCGTCCAAATCGAGTTACCGAGAAACAGCCGGTATTTCTCAGTTTTGTTCCACCCTTGTCTCTGCAACGCCTCCACTTATCACCAAATCAAACATACTAAGAAAACGTTACAAAGGAAAATGGCTGCCAAAAAGACTTAGCACTGGTTATGTTGTGGCTTTAAAACTGATTTGTTTTGTTCCCTGCTAAAACAAAGTTTGTGAATTCAGTTAAATAATTATTAAAATATATCTGTCATTTGTGTGTTTTTAGCTTTCTTCCTGTATGGGAAGCTTTTCAAAATTTTAAACATTGGTGAAGTGGTTTATGTTAAAATAAACCTTTGGGTTAAGTTGTCACAAGCGGATTTTTCTTGTGTTTCTTGTGAATTTGGTCTTAAATTTTTATTTCAAGTGGCATTAAAAAGTCTTAAAAAGTCTTGAATTTAACTTGACTTATACTGTAGGAACCCTGAAAACCACTTAATCAACTTTCCCTTTTTTAAGCAAAAAAAAAAATTATAATAATTTTATCATACAGTGTTTTCTTGCATTCACATCTGAGTAAGTTGTCCATCTCCTGCAGCACCTTCTAGACAAGATGAACGACTGTATGGCCAAACCAGCTTGCCGGCTGCCCACCCTCATGCTGCTCGGCCACGTGGTCCGCAAGCAGCCATCTTGGATCCACAAGATCGCCCGTTACCCGCTCCTGCTCTCTCTGCTGAAATGCCTGAAGGTATCCATCCCTTTTTCACACAAAGTAGGAATATAGTAGATATAGATTTTCTGGAAGTCCTTTGAAACTAACAATCAAAAGTAGGGGTGGACAGGGATTCAATGGTGAGAATTAGGCCACTGGTGCAAAGTAAACTGTAACTGGGTGTGGTTTACGCGGGAATGGAGCGAGGCAAAATTTCTGTGAATGACAATGAATTGGAACGGGAAGTTTGCCCTTTGTGCGTCCGGACAGTGCAGCCAGAGGAAGCAGTTCATCACCCAGCACTATTTACAAGATTCAGGGTAAAGTTTGTCCTGAAATGAACAAGCTAAATTTAGCATCAGTCACGTAGTGAATTAAAAGTCATGCAGTTACTGAGGTAGACACCTTGGTGATTGTGCTGCTCACATCTTCTCCCCCTGCACATGTGCATTTGATTAGTTTAAATTGAAAGGTGAAAGCACCAATTCCCTCTGTAGCCGCCCACCTTCTGAACACTCGTTCCTACTTCTTTGTGAATTTAAATATTCATATAGGTGCCAAAAATCATAGCTGTTAATTCCCACTTAAAGGACAGAGTGAGCCTGCAAGGGAGAGAAATTTCAGCACGACACCTCTGATCTAAAACCAGCATCCAACAGCAATTAAAGTTAACTATGGCTGAAGAGATGATGCTGAAATGCCGAATTTTTTTATTTTTTTATTCAGACATTTTGGAAATAGAGCTGTAGTCATGATGCCGTTATATTTTAGCTCAAAGGCCAGGACACACCAAATCCGATTTTGCTTCTGATCTGACAGAAAATCGTGGTGGTTGTGGCGTTTGGCGCTAATTGAGAGTCAATGGGGTTGATCACACCTGACATGATTTTACGCAAGGGGGCTTCGGTAGCTCTGAGGTTGTCGGTCTACGCAGCAATTTAGCGGCAATTTCGTGGGTCTAACAGGAAGAGAGGTATGGATACAAGGTAAAACACATTCGCTTTGAGGGAAAAATACAAAATAAAGTCTTTTAATTACTCGGGGAAACATTCAGTCAAAGAGTTACACATTGCGTTTTCTAGTAAGCTGGACAGACTCATGCAAAAACGATGAAGAATGATTAAAAAAATAATATTTTACCCATGATGGGAGTTCAGGAGGACAGAAAAGCGATAAAGTAGTGATACTCTTTAAGCTTCACAAAAACGATGAGGGACAGAAAGAGCAGTTTATCACTCTCAAAAAAAAAAAATCATTGCGTCTGTATTATTGATCTTCTTTATGCCTCACAAAAACAAAATAACGAGGGGCAGATTGAGCAGGTAAGCAAAGCGCATCTCTTTCAAATCTTTATGAAAAAAAAGACTTCCCAGATCTCTGTCTGACAATCAGCTCTTATGGCCTCATTCAGCATATAAACCGTCCCACGGCATTTAATGCTATGTTTTCCTTTTCTTTAGAGGTAGATCTCATTACATTATTAATATGTGAAAATTCTCTATCTGTTCTGGTTTGAGATACTGCATAGAGTCGTCAAGTGGGGCTTTGCTTTATAGCTGCGGTGGTATTTTTTTATTTTAATTTTATTTTTGTTTTAATAACTTAATAATCTGTCAAAGGCAAATCTGGTAAATTGTTTTAATTTGTGTATAGCACAAAGACATAAGTGAAAGACAATCTGCGCAGATCTGCTCACCCTGCCTAGTCGGAGCCTCTCTATACGCAATCGGTGTAACATGGAAAAAGTCGGATCGGGGATTAAAAAGTCGTACGCAGCCGTTGTGCTCTGGCCTTTATACGGAAGAAGAGTAAGGCCACTCAAAAAGAAAAAAAAAGTTAACTGATTTTTAAATTTTATTTCAGTTTACTATGGGAAAAAAGTCAGAATTCTGACTTTAATCTCAGAATTCTGACTTTATTCTCAGAATTCTGACTTTAATCTCAGAATTCTGACTTTTTTCTCAGAATTCTGACTGTAATCTCAGAATTCTGACTTTAATTTCAGAATTCTGACTTTAATCTCAGAATTCTGACTTTATTCTCAGAATTCTGACTTTATTCTCAGAATTCTGACTTTTTTCTCAGAATTCTGACTTTATTCTCAGAATTCTGACTTTTTTCTCAGAATTCTGACTTTATTCTCAGAATTCTGACTTTTTTCTCAGAATTCTGACTTTAATCTCAGAATTCTGACTTTATTCTCAGAATTCTGACTTTATTCTCAGAATTCTGACTTTTTTCTCAGAATTCTGACTTTATTCTCAGAATTCTGACTTTTTTCTCAGAATTCTGACTTTATTCTCAGAATTCTGACTTTTTTCTCAGAATTCTGACTGTAATCTCAGAATTCTGAGAAAAAAGTCAGAATTCTGACTTTAATCTCAGAATTCTGAGAAAAAAGTCAGAATTCTGACTTTTTTCCCATGTTACACTGAAATAAAATTTAAAAATCAGTTAACTTTTTTTTTTTAGTGGCCCTAATCCTCTTCCGTACCTTTACCCTTCATAAGGGACTCAGTGAAATAATGTCACTTGACCTCATATGTTAAAAAAGATAACAAACGTGCTTCAATAAGGTATTCCTTAAAAACACAGAGTAAAATATGCAAATATTTTATTAAAACATAATCTTAGAGCATTAATGTTGATAGATGAACTTACATTTCTTACTTTTTTACTTTATATGACACTTTTTTCCACCTTACTTTTTTTTTTACTTGAGTTACAAATAATGGGTAAGTCAGTACAATATCATCCAAGGTCTCATCTAACTGGTCCTGTACTGAAATGATGTGTACTAGTACCACCTAGTATCTTTGCTGAATGGTTGGAAAGAAATTATGTGCTTCTAGACCTGACTGAAGGATGAAGGGAGGGCTTCATTTGACCCAAAATGGTAACTTGACCTTTTAAAGGGTTGAAATCATCAGACTGTCAGTTTAACACTGGCCCATCCCTCGATGGAAGTTACCGCTCCTCGTTTTATCTTTTTATTAAACCATACAACAAACTGATTAATTGTCCCCCATGTTTAAAAAAATGAAAATGGAGGCTTCTCTTAGTATTTTTATGCTCTGTAATCTGTGTGTTTTTCTTTCTTTTTTTTTTTTGTCCTCAACATAAAATCAAAAACTGTTTCTCTTGCAGACAGATACAGATGTAGTCGTACTCATAACCGGGGTGCTGGTTCTCATCACCCTGTTGCCCATGATCCCTCAAGCTGGGAAGCAACACCTGTGGGAGTACTTTGATATCTTCGGCCGCTTGGCATCTTGGAACCTCAAGAATCCGGGTAGGTCAGAATACCGCTGCAGCCTCCTTGGCTGTGGGTTGGCAGCATCAGGCTAACATTCCTGAATATTTCCCTTCCTTCCAGGCCACGTATCTGAGGTTTACCTGATCCACCTGCATGCCAGCGTCTACTCCCTCTTCCACAGACTCTATGGGATGTATCCGTGTAACTTCGTGTCTTACCTTCGCTCCCATTACAGCATGAAGGAGAACATGGAAACCTTTGAGGAGGTGGTGAAGGTGAGGCATGACTGATGAATCTGCTGCTGCTAAACTGGGGAAAAGTTTTTAATAGTTTTGTTTAAACCCCTTCAGCCAATGCTTGAACATGTTCGCATACATCCTGAGCTGGTGACGGGAACCAAGGACCATGAGCTCGACCCAACCAGGTAAACCCACCCTCTTATACCTAAACAAACATAATCCTCTAATCTTTCTCCTAGGAATCACTTTTTTGTTTTCTTTCTGATGGTTCTCTGGTTTTACACCAGGTGGAAAAAGTATGAAATCCATGATATCGTCATTGAATGTGCCAAAGTGTCCCTAGACCCAAAGGAGGCTTCCTGTGAGGAGGGCTACGCCACCATGCCTGAGAACTTCTACCCCCAAACCCACCTGCGCGCCCAAGACTCCACTTCCAGCCCATACACAGACCTCCACAGCAGCTACGGTGAGAAAACACAGGAAACTGCAACACGAGCCTCAACGCACCACTAATATCAAATCCAAAAGAAGGGCACACCAAGAAACATTTATTAATCACAGAAAATAGATGCAATATATGAAAAAGCTGCAAACGTGACCCACAACATGGAAAAGAAGCAAACCACTAGAGGGAGCCGACCAGCAGGTCAGATTTACTGCAGAACATGAATATGCAGCTCTTCTACAAGGTCCCGCGGCTCGTTTTGAGCACCAGGCGCAGCACGTCTGAGCAGCTGAAGCAGCGCGTCGGGTGCGCAGGGAGAGAGACACAGCGCTGATGATCACTCCTCCTAAACAGTTTATTGACGCCTAAATTAACTTAAAATGCAGAAATCTGCCGGCAGAATATGCAGTTTGGATTATTTAGATGAAAAACACCTACCAGCTGCCGCGGTGAACCGCTGCTGATGAAGGGATCCATACTGTCGGCGCATCCCTGGTATGTGGGGGTCTGAGCGGCTCCGACAGAAAAAATATTGAAGGCAGGATAATAATCTGAATGAACTGACTGCACTGATTACGTTTTCAGGTGTATTTTCTCGCTTAAACACATATTAAAACTACTTTATTCCCACTGATCACAGCAAATATAGCTGCAAGGCAGAGAAAGGATAGTGAAGCTCCGCCCAATGCGCCTCAGACACACTTTTGCACTGCGCAGGCAGAGCAGCAAAGCTGCTTCAGCCGCGCGTCAGAACTAACTGGTACAAGCAGCAAAAATGAAGCAGCAGACGCGATTTTGCTGCTTTTGCTGCGTGAACTTAGCATAACTGCACAAAGATTGCCACTGTGCTAGCAACGAGAATGCTTTTAACTGGGGGGTGTAGCAGTTCTCGCCGTAAAGCAAGACTGACTCTCACGAGACTTCTGAGCCTGTGGGTGCGGGTCGGTGCTCCTGCAGTTGCAAGTGCAGTATTTCCCCCACAGACCACCAGGGCGGCCGAGAATACCTTTGTTCAACCTGAAATGACTCATTTAGTCATCCATAACGTTATGGAACACATTAATTCACTGAAAAATGTTGCATAGTGTGCCTTTAATGAACACATCTGTAGTCGTGACAAATGGCAGCAACATTGAGGTGTGCATTCAACATAAAGGCACAAAAACTGGATATTTTTCCTTTTTTTAACTGGTTAAAAGCAGTTTATAGGAAAATCTTTTAAGAAACAAATTAGCTGCTATGATTGACTTCACTGCATTAGCAGATTTTATATGTAAACTTGTGTTGACTGTTCCTCCTTAATAGGAAGCTCTTCTTCGACCCCATTCTCGACTCCACGGCAGCCGCTCCCCACGCCCCTGTCCTTGCCTCCCCTCTCAGGGACACAGCCCTGTCGCAGCCCGCAGGCCTCCAGGCGGCAGGTAAGAGCATCCCTTACGGAAGGAATATTGGCCCTTAAATCTGTGAGGGCCAATATCCTGCAGCTTTGAGATCTGCTCCTGGTCCAACACTCCTGAATTAAAGGGCTTAGGTCTCCAGAGTCCTTAGAATATCACTCATGTGTGTTAAAACAGAGGCATATCTAAAAGGTGCAGAATGTCAGGACTGAATGTCACTGGGCTGCTGATCTGATTCACAAAAAGAAAACCAAAAAAAAAAATAATAATTTTTTTTCTAAATTAAGTACCTATTGCTAAAAGTCATCAACTAGAAATATAAACTGGGAACATGATGAACTTTTAAAGTGACCCTTCAAAATAGAAAATCAATTCTGCATCACTAATGGACCTAAAATAAGAATATAAACATGATAGGACTAATAAGTATTACATACAAATACAATTAAATAGGCGTCTCACTCTTCAGTGTGTTCTTGCAAAAGTAAGTCTGGTAATGCATTTGAACTAATAAGGAGAAAGAGGATTACATTTTAATTTAGGAAATAGTTTATAAACTATGAAACTTAAAACGAGTCTTGTTTATTTCATAGATAACAGGTATAGTTCACATCCCTATTAGACACCTGGTTGACCTTTGATGACCTCTAGAAACATCTCTTTATATCTTTAAAATGAAAGCGGCACAAACGAAAATTTTTGCTCCACAAATGTAGCACAAACATTTGACACCAATTGTGTCTAATTTGAAAAAGGTGGGGGGGCTGGTTGACCTTTTGACCTTTACATTTTTATTAATATCTTCAAAGCCAAAGCAGCACAAACGAAATTTTTGCTGCACAAACGGAGCTGAGTTAATTGACACCCATTTCGCCTGATTTGAAATAGGTGGGGGGGCTGGTTGACCTTTGATGACCTCTAGAAATATTTCTTTATAGCTTTAAAACGATAGCGGCACTAACGAAAATTTTTTTTGTACAAACGTAGAACAAATGTTTGACACTAATTTTGTCTGATTTAAAAAAGGTGGAGGGGTCAACTTCACTCAGGTCTATTAGACCTATTTGTTGAATCAGAAATGTTAATATAGGATTCACAGCTTCTGGATAGTAGTTTAGTTAACTTCTGTAAACTAGATGATTCATAGTACCGGTTTCCAGGCTTCCTAATGAAGCCAAATCAGTGATAAAAATGGGATTAGGTTTGACTTTTATAAAAAAAAAAAAAAAAAAAAAGCTTACAGATGTTGTTTAACAATAAGATATCTGCTAATTATTCTGTTTATTATTATAAAAATTCAAATGTTTGTATCCTTTCGGCTGCTACCCAACTCAGAGGTTGACGCAGTGAGTTAGTATGACCCGCTTATAAACATAGCGCCGGATGGTGCTACTGGTAAAGCCGGGATCTTAAACCTGCAATCAAGTTGGAGACGTTAAAGGAATAGTACACCCCAAACATGATTAGCCTTCATTTTCTACTCACCCCCATGCTGAACAACACCCTGGAGTACTTTTTTGATATCTCAAATGCATCTGGAGATCTGGGAGGCTTCTTGCTGTCTGCTGACATTCAAATAATGGAGGTCTATGGTGACCGAGACAGAAAGGTCCATAAAAGTCCACAAAAAACGTGTCAATATTCCTCCATACTGCTCGTCCAATGTATTCCAAGTGTCCTGAGTGGATAGCATCCAGAATTTACTCGAAACGAAGTCATTAAGAATGTTTTTAGAGCATAAACAGTAGTGTATAGTATTTCCTGAAAGCGCGCACATGCGCGCTCACGACGCTACGGAAGCCGGCAGACCAAACCAGCGCATTCAGCTCGGCAAAGAACTCCTGCTCTTCCTCAACACTGAAGTCCTCAGACATTTTTCTTTCGTTGTTTCTTTCTTTGCACAGGTAAACAGCACATTTCTTCTTCTACGCTTGCATTATCGGCAGAGCAGACGCTGAATGCGCACTTTCATCTGGTTTGGTCTGCCGCGGTTTCCGTAGACTCGTGAACTCGCAGGCGCGTGCTTTTAGGAAATCCTATACACTACTGTTTATGCTCTAAAAACATTCTAAATGACTTCGTTTCGAGTAAATTATGGACGCTACCCACTCAGGACACTTGGAATACATTGGACGAGCAGTATGGAGGAATATTGACAAGTTTTTTGTGGACTTTTATGGACCTTTCTGCCTCGGGCGCTATGGACCTCCATTATTTGAATGTCAGCAGACAGCAAGAAGCCTCCCAGATCTCCAGATGCATTTGAGATATCAAAAAAGTACTCCAGAGTGTTGTTCAGCATGGGGGTGAGTAGAAAACGAAGGCTAATCATGTTTTGGGTGTACTATTCCTTTAAGGTAACGGGATTTATTGACTTCATCAACTTTTCTGTAGTGTACCTGAGGCAATGATCGACCGACCCCTGCTGTACAGTATTCTTGATACACCGTGCGGAACTATAAAACTTAAAGAATGGATATAAGCTAATGATCTTATTAAAGTAGATTCCATATCATTTTTGGAGCTGAACTGGAAAACAAGTGAAAATGTTGGCCTTAAAAGCATAAAACCCAGATATTGTTGAAGTCTTAGCAGCCATTTGGTTGATTGTTTTCCTAATGTCCTGCTGAATGAATTTGACCCGTCTCTGTTTGTGCAGAACTCAAACAGTGAACTGAATTCATCCTGTGGGGGGAAAGACCCTCTGTGGAGCCCCTCCTCGCTGTGCGGTATGGCCACGCCCCCTTCCTCACGAGGCATGTCGCCCAACCTGGAGCTCTCCCACAGTGCCTCACACCTTCCCAGCCGCTTCCACTGCACATCAGGTACCGACCGAATATACAGAAACCATCCTACCCCCTCAGTAATTCTGATCAAGCTGCTAAAATCCTCAATTCACTTCATTTTCTGTCCATGTTTTTGCTCTGAGCAGGAGGAAAAGGAACGCCTGCATCCAGCACTCCAGCCACCTCATCTCCTCCTCCTACTCTGTCAGATGACTTCCCAGTAATCTCCTTACCAACCAGCACAGTCCAATCCAGTCCTCCTAGAAAGGTACGATAACTGCAGTAACTGCTGTTTTATTATTGCTATTATTATTAAGAGAAATGGCGTCACGGCTGGACACCCTTAAAGTGATTCTTATGTTTTTGTGGCCATTTCTGTGTATTTATATTCTGCTTCAATGCACTTTTAAGACAACATGGCTTTCTTTTAGAAAAAATACTTTTCCAACACCTGAGCTAAAAGCTATCTTGGTGACCACGATTGTCGTTACTATTTGTAAACTCTGGTTTAAGGATCAAAGCAGGTAAACATATTTTTGTACAAAAATGAAGTCATAATTGAATGTTTTTCAGGATCGTCGACAAGGAGAGAGCAACAAGCCTGGGCTGGTGAGACAGGAACAAGTCAGAGAGACGGAGAAGAGTGGAGAGGCAGCTCCAGCCAGAGGTTAGACACGTCACAGCTGGATTAGATCCCCTGTTCAAAAGAAAAAGATATAACAGCAGGCTAACGAATCTGGTCAGGAAACAAGAAAGAATTAAAACATTTAAAGACCCATAAGATTCCCGCACTGCTGTTTGGCCAAAGATCTGCAGATAATAGTTTTTATTTTAGATCTCATCTATCCTACTTGGATGAACCTGATTCCATCTTTAATCATCTGTTTGCTTTTCATCAGACGCAGGAAGTGCAGCGAATGTCTCTATGACGCTGACAGAGCTGTCAGTTTTCCTAAAGAGGCAGGAGCTTGACCTTCAACTGAGAACGGAGAAGGAAAGAGAAGAAGGTGAGTTTTCAGCCGCCAACAATTATGGAAATGGGCAGTTTTTGACTCAGTCAATGTGATTACAATAAGTAATTCATTGAAAGAATCGGAAGAACAACAAACTGCATCGATTTTAAAAATTGAATAGAATAAGATTAATGCTATGTTCACATTAAGCGATTTTGGAGCAGCAGAAGTACATGCAAAGTCAATGGTTGACGCACATCAAGGCGCATCAAAAGGCCCTGCATCGCGTCTCGAGAAGCAGGAGCAGCGCATCATGAGCTTAAGAGCGACTGAAGCGCAGGGCGGGCTTCACAAGCAGCAGGTGCCTGACTTGGAATAAGTTAACTCTTGCTGCTCGACGTGCAACATCAACCAATCAGTGCAGCTGATCTGAAACCTGGCAAGGTGAAAGACAGTGCTGCTGATGCAGATCAATATGATCACTGCACTGAAACTGTTTATTAATGCCTTAATTAGATTAAAATGTCGAAACCTGCCGCAAATTATGTTCGCTTTTGTTGTTCTGGTGCCTGTACTTTTCACCATACATCTGAAAAAAAGCTACTACTAGGTGGAAGTAGAAAAAATTTATTTCCAGCCGCCACGAACAGTAGTGGGGGAAAAAAAACTCCCAAGAGGCGACTGGGACTAAGGCAGCTGCTACTTGGGATTCCCAGTGACAGTGCACTGCCGGTATGTGGGGGTCTGACAGCAAAATTATACTCTAAGGCAGGATTGTAATCTTGATGAACTGACTGCACAGCAGTGTTGATTTCGTCAGCCTTTTCTGATTTAGTCTTAGTCACAATGACGAAAATCAATTTTATTCTTAGTCATATTTGGTCATTGCCTTCCCAATTTAGTCTTAGTCTAAATGACGAAAATCAATTTTAATCTTTGTCAAATTTTAGTAATTTTAGTCCAGTGTTTTTCAACCCTGGTTCTCTAGGCTCACTGCTCAGCATGTTTTGGATGTTTCTGAGCTTCAGCACACCTGATTCAGATGATTGCAGTTCAGCAAAGCCTGATAATTTGCTATCAATTGATAACAGGTGTGTGGAAGCTGGGAAACATCTAAAACATGCAGGGCAGTGTGCCTTGAGGACATGGGTTGAAAAACACAGTTTAAGTCAACACTGTAAATAATAGTACTTCTCCACACACAACTTCTCTTTTTAACATATCACACTATACAAAATAAAACCTCTCCACACATTTTCTCTATTTTATTTGTATAACACTGTGCAGAATAGAACTTCTTCATACACACACACTGGTTCTCTTTTTAACATATATCATACTGCACACATTGAACCTTTTGTCGGCTTGTTTCATCATATCCACAAAGTCTTCATCCTCAATGGTCCTTGCAGGCAGGCCAGAACGACCAATCCAATTTGCCATTGAGTTTTCTGGGGCTTTCTGCTCTTTGGCGCCAGGTTTGTACAGTGGGAGTGCTCCCAACATCTCTGCAACAGACTTCCCTTCCTTCCCCAATGTCTGATTTGGCTGTGGTGTCAGTCATTATCATGCAGGTTTTGTTGTCCTTTGTGTTTTAAACGAAATGGCTCCATACATCCAGGCGTTGTTTCCGCCCGTGCTCCTCTAACAAATCGTGCACCGGTATCCGAGCCCGACGCCATGACTGCGAAGTTGAGCTAGCCATGGTTAGCTGTGACCAGTATAAGCCCTCTGCTACTACTGACTGAGCGGTGCGAGGCACTGTGGAACAGGCGCCATGTAGGGACAAACAGGGCAACAACGCATAGTCTTCTATGAAGTTAAAGAAACACTTACCGTATTTTCACGACTATAAGGCGCACTTAAACGTCTTTTTTTTCCCTTAAAATGTGCGGTGCGCCCTATGTGTGTTGTAACTGCGACTTTTGAGACCACCTCATTGAGGAGATGATGAAAGAGTGGCTGAATGTAAGGAGACCAGGTGTTTTTTTTCCACTCATCACCATCGCTGTTAATATGTAACTCCATGCGTGCCCATCTCACAGCTGATGTGAAAAACATGGGGAAACAAATTAACACTGTGCTCCCTGTTCAACCGCTCCACATCGGTGTGAACCGGACCCAGCAGGTGCAGCAGAAGCAGCGAGTTTACATGCAAAGTCAATGGTTGACGCGCGTATAGGCGCAGCAAAAGGTCCCGCAGCGCGTTTTGAGCTGCAGGAGCGTTTAAGCATCTGACGCACCGCCAACGCGCTGCTGCTGCTCGAGATGGAAAAATTGAAGTTTTGCTGCTGGACGCGCCGCATCAACCAATCAGAGAAGCTGATCTGGGAGCTGACAGCGAGACAGACACAGCGCTCTGATGACATATGATATTAACGCAAATGAAAAAGGCTGGATGGATGAGGAGATGATGAAAGGCAGGTGTATGTGAGGAGACCAGGTGCTTTTTTCCACGCATCACCATCGCTGCGTGCCCATTTCACAGCCGATGTTAAAAAAAGGTGAATCAAATGAACGCTGTGCTCGCCGTTATTCCGGGGGTCTGACAAAGGAACTTCAACCGCTCGACATCGGTGTGAAGCGGCCGTTCAAAGTAAGGCTGCGAGCGGCGTGGGAGCGATGGATGACAGACGGAGACCACAGTTTCAGGATAAATGGAAGGCAGCGCCGGGCAAGTTACGCCACCGTTTGCGGATGGATTGCAGATGCTTGGACTAAAGTGTCTGCTGGCTCTATTGTTCAAGCTTTCGCAAAAGCCGGCATCATTTCTGAGGAGCCGCGCTGCACGGAAAGTGACTCTGACAGCGAAGAAGGGGAAACTGGCATGTCTGATTTAGCGCAGCTGTTTAATTCAGAAACAGGATGATGACTTTGATGGGTTTGATTAATACTTTGTAATAAATACATGAATAAAGCACAAACATACTCAGTTTTGCTCCCGCTCTATTTTTCTACCTGAAAACTTAATTCAACAGCAGCCTCTGGCCGGGTCTCCTCCTCTTCACCGCGGCGGCTGGCAGGTGTTTTTTCATCTAAATAATCTAAATCTTGCAGCTATATTTGCTGTGATCAGGGGAATAAAGTAGTTTTAATATGTTTTTAAGTGAGAAAGGCCACCTGAAAACTTAATTGCAGTCAGTTCATCCAGATTATCTATTTCTGTCGGAGGCGCTCAGACCCCCACATACCAGCGGTGCACCGACAGCAGAAATCCCTTCAACAGCAGCCTCACCGCGGCGGCTGGCAGGTGTTTTTCATCTAAATAATTTACAGTGCAGGCACCAGGATACCGGCAATAAAAGCGAACATATTCCGTCGGCAGGTTTCAGGATTTTAAGTTAATTTAGGAGTAATCACAGCGCTGTGTCATCTGCGATGTGTCTGTCTCATGGCCAGCTCGCAGGTTTGATTAATACTTTGTAATAAATACATGAATAAAGCACAGCCATACTCAGTTTTGGGCCCGCTGTATTTTTTAAATACGCAGTAGAGCTATTTAAAGGTAGTAGAGGACATGCACCTGTACAGGTGCTGGTCATAAAATTAGAATATCATGAAAAAGTAGATTGATTTCAGTAATTCCATTTAAAAAGTGAAACTTGTATATTATATTCATACATTACATACAAACTCATATATTTCAGATGTTTATTTTGTTTAATTTTGATGATTACAAATGACAACAAATGAAAATCTCAAATTCATCATATCAGAAAATTAGAATATTACTGAAGACCAATAAAAACAAAGGATTTATAGAAATGTTGGCCAACTGAAAAGTATGAACATGAAAAGTATGAGCATGTACAGCACTCAGTATTTAGTTGGGCCTCCTTTGGCCTGTATTACTGCAGCAATGCGGCGTGGCATGGAGTCGATCAGTCTGTGGCACTGCTCAGGTGTTATGATAGCCCAGGTTGCTCTAATAGTGGCTTTTAGCTCTTCTGAATTGTTGGGTCTGGTGTATTGCATCTTCTTCTTCACAATACCCCATAGATTTTCTATGGGGTTAAGGTCAGGAGAGTTTGCTGGCCAATTAAGAACAGGGATACCATGGTCCTTCAACCAGGTACTGGTAGCTTTGGCACTGTGTGCAGGTGCCAAGTCCTGTTGGAAAATGAAATCTGCATCTCCAAAAAGTTGGTCAGCTGCAGGAAGCATGAAGTGCTCTAAAACTTCCTGGTATGTGGCTGCGTTGACCCTGGACCTCAGAAAACACAATGGACCAACACCAGCAGATGACATGGCACCCCAAACCATCACTGACTGTGGAAACTTTACACTGGACTTCAAGCAACGTGGATGAAGTGCCTCTCTTCTTTTCCTCCAGACTCTGGGACCTTGATTTCCAAAGGAAATGCAAAATTTACTTTCATCAGAGAACATGACTTTGGACCACTCACCAGCAGTCCAGTCCTGTTTCTCTTTAGCCCAGGCAAGACGCTTCTGACGCTGTCTGTGGTTCAAGAGTGGCTTGACACAAGGAATGCGACAGCAGAAACCCATGTCTTTCATAACGTCTGTGTGTGGTGGTTCTTGAAGCACTCACTCCAGCTGCAGTCCACTCTTTGTGAATCTCCCCCACATTTTTGAAGGGGTTTTGTTTCACAATCCTCTCCAGGGTGCGGTTATCTCTCTTGCTTGTACACTTTTTTCGACCACATCTTTTCCTTCCCTTCGCCTCTCTATTAATGTGCTTGGACACTGAGCTCTGTGAACAGCCAGCCTCTTTAGCGATGACCTTTTGTGTCTTGCCCTCCTTGTGCAAGGTGTCGATGGTCGTCTTTTGGACAACTGTCAAGTCAGCAGTCTTCCCCATGATTGTGTAGCCTATAGAACTAGACTGAAAGACCATTTAAAGGCTTTTGCAGGTGGTTTGAGTTAATTAGCTGATTAGAGTGTGGCACCAGGGGCCATCAATTTTGAACCTTTTCACAATATTCTAATTTTCTGATATGATGAATTTGAGATTTTCATTTGTTGTCATTTGTAATCATCAAAATTAAACAAAATAAACATCTGAAATATATGAGTTTGTATGTAATGTATGAATATAATATACAAGTTTCACTTTTTAAATGGAATTACTGAAATCAATCTACTTTTTCATGATATTCTAATTTTATGACCAGCACCTGTATATAAAAAATGCGCCCTATAGTCCGGTGCGCCTTATGTGTGTGTTAAATACAGAAATGGGACACATAACTGAGACTGCGCCTTTTAGTACGGTGCGCCTTATGGTCGTGAAAATACGGTATATTAACAATTACAAATTAGTTATAAACAATAAAATTTTTGAATGTCCATTCGTCCATGGCTTGTAAATTTCGTCTGGTCTTTTCCTTTTTTATTCTCGTCATATTTTTATTTTCTGGAAACAATTTTTGTGCGTCATCGTCTCGTCATCGTCACGGGAAAAAGGGGCGTTAATGAAATATTTTCATCATCGTCCTGGTTGACGAAATTAACACTGCTGCACAGACGATGTTTTAAGGTGAACTTTCTCACTTAAAAACAAATTAAAACTACATTTTACCAGCTTATCACAGCAAATATAGCAAAGTCACTCTCTGCGACAAAGATGCTCTTGATGCTTGTATGACCTTAATGTGTAAAAGCATCACTCATTAAGGAAGCAGAAGCTTTTTTTGCTGCTAAAATAGCATTAGGTGTGGACATGGCATTAGTGTCAGGCTCCATTTTTCATCTCTGTGTGGTTTCTGGTATGTATCTGTGAAAGTCGCTATTATAAATGGACAGAAATGTTCCTTTTATCTCTATGACCAGTATGGCTCTCATGAGTCCAGTTATGCATAATAACCATCTTCATGTGTCTCTGCTTCAGCTGCCATCACAGAGGAGCTGATGAAACTCACTGAAGATAAGCAGGAGCTCTCAGGGCTGAGGGGCTATGACTCCCCTTTCTTTCATACCACTGAGACCCTCACAGGCCGCCAAACGCAAAACCAGACGCCCTCCACCAATGCCCACCCATTAGGAGCAGTCAGAGAGGCCCGTTACGCTGCATCGACACCAGACAGAGCCGAGAACGCCGCAAGCAGCAGCACTGCCGTCGGTAGCGAAAGAGTAGCAGCAGCAGGCGGTGAAAGCCGGAGCTCCGCCATCGAGCAGGCCTGGTCCTTTCAGTCCGGTTTTACCCCCATCGATCACCACCTGCACAGGAGCCCCTCAGGCCCCGACGGTGAAGTGGGCAAGTTGGAGATGTTCTCACCGAGCCCATGCAGCAAGACGCCGGCGCCGTTGCCCTACGAGTCCTTGTTCGCCTTGGCCCTGCCGAGGGCCGCCTCGCTGTTTGTGGGCCAGAAAACGTCGGAGGCGGTCCACAAGGTGGCGATGGAGAGGCTGCTGCAGCAGGAAGAGGGTCTGGAGGATGGGGAGGAGGAAGGGGTGGTGTCTGCTTCACCACTGGAGGTGCTGGATCGCCTTGTTCAGCAGGGGAGTGACGCCCATGATAAAGTTCTCAAGAGGTGAGAGATTCTGCTTTGACTCAGCTGTCCTTTCATGCTTCATAGTGAATCGTTAAATTAACATTTTTTTGTGTTTTTAAAGCTGTAGAAGACTAACCTTTTAGGCTTTTACAGGATTCTACTCTCAGATTTAAAGGAGTTAATTGACATTTTATAACCTGTTACCACAAACTAACTCAGAATTTTTTTTATTTTCTGGATTTCCATTCTTTGTGCTTTTTTCTGTCTGTTGGGATTGGAAATCAAGTAATTGATTTGCATTTAAAGTAACACTATGTAACATTTAGCCACCAGGGGGCGCTTTAATTATGACTTCCAGAACTATGACACCTTGGACCAGCATTTCAGATTCATTTCAGGAGTTTCTTTTAAATTCAAGGCAACATTCACTAACCTGACTCCGCCAGATGGATTTGCTCCGCATGTCCATCTGGAAACCTTCCGCAGAAGTAATTTTGTGAAGGGGCGAAAATACTGGTCTGCTGATTGGCCGATGTTGGTGATAGACGGGCCAAATAAACCAATCAGATCAACAAAGCATATGACGTACTAACAGAGAGATGACGAAGAGCCAATTGATAGATCAAACTCTTGCCGAAACCAGTCGGGAGTATTGCAAAAACATCTTTTCCTCTGAGAAAAGCCTCCAGAGCAGTTTTTTGCTCTTCTATCAGTGAAGAAATACTCTGTAATTCCGATAAAACTTGCTCGATAGCCACGCTAATGCTAGTTTCATCGGCTGAAGCCGCCATGTTCTTTAGACTGAACTGTCGCGCTTCTCGTTGCTTCACACCTCAACCCGCCTCAAAGCCAACGCTGATTGGACGTTCGTTTGGTGAACGGCTCCAAATTTTTTTCAACGGAGAGTCTCCAGACTGATTAGAGAGTGAAATCTTGAAAGCTCGCGAGATCAGGATGGTCTCACGAGGGTACACATTCACCCCACTAGAATAAATCGTACTTCACTGAACCAAAAATATGTCAGATTTGTTTTGTTGCTTTACAAGGTTTAGCTTGGTTAGCATTAATTCTCAAGGTGAGCGCAGAGTAAAGCAGTTCTTTAGGTCACATGACTCATTTAGCGACGGATTTCACCCTCTCATGTTACATAGGCGAGTTCTTGAGAAGAGCGACCCATGGGGAGCAATGACACTCGCCCAATTTTTTACATTGTACAAAAAAGTCATTTAATATATATCAAATGAAGCTTATACTTTGGTCAAAAGTTACTCATTGATGCCTAATTTTTAGAGTAACAGTTTTTCAGATACACTTTTCTTCCAATGTGATTGTTAATAACGTCTTCTTACACAAACCCTATTTCAGTGTAATATGGCGACGTACAGAAGAGGGCGCCGCATTTCAACCTCAGGTTGAGCCAGAGTATAATAGTTGCAAGAAAAATAAGGAGACACAAAGTAGTCCAATTGGTGTGTGCAGGACTACTTTACACTGTTTCATGACCGCAAGGATGCAATATGAGCATTTATTTATTCAGGTTTTTCGATTTTTAAAATAAATTTCGACATGCTCCTTAAGTTATTGCCTACTTGGATAAGATAAGTGCAGAAAAGTGGTAAAGGTAAGTACAGAAGAGTGTAAAGCGTTTCTGACATGATGAAAAAAGACATGATACCAATAAGCATGGTAGAAAAAGTTACGTTATTGAAAAACCCTATTGATACAAATATCAACCATCTTACCAACTTTAGATTCACTCATTAATCGATAATAATAATAATGACATCCAAGTGTCCAGTTCTGGGAGATTAGAGACACTGTTTGTGAGCTTGAGGTGTGAATGACAAGATTTGCTTCAAAAAAGTGAAAATTTGATGTTTCTCCTGCAACACAATTGCCACCAACCCAGGAAGGATGACTTTTAGACAAAAATGGCTGCACTGTAAGTCAGACACAGACCAGGCCCCCCCAAGGATCCCACAGCAGATTCAATTCACAAATATTAGAAAAGAAGATCTTTATCCTGTTGAACAACATGGCCTCTAGAGTTCCTTCGGTAACAGGAACCAAAACAGCTGCTATGGGAGGTGGATGTGGACCAAAGACACAGCATGGTCCACAGGCTGGACACAACTCAGCCATAGTTGGTCCCCATCAGCCAAATCCACAACAGATTTGCTCCATAACAGGTGGAAAAGATGTTAGTTTTTGGTGCAATGTTGTTTCTATAACAGCTAACTCATCTGGCTGCATGAGGACATGACATAGTCTGAGGCTGACACCCTTAGGAGGCACTGGTCAAAGGCTGCAGTCACAAGAAAATCACCCCACCAAACATCCCTGACCTGTCGGGAGAACATGGCTGAACAAATCCCCCACACAGCGACTGTCCCGACAAGAGAAGGTCCTCTCAGCGTTAAAAGTCCCTGCAAGTCGCTTCACCACAGTCGCTTTATCCCACAGTCTGATCATCCCTGCATCTAATAAAAAAACCCAAAACGAAACAAAACACACAGTTCACCCAGCAAGGCGGAGCAGCACAGTAACGAGTTACAACCAGTGCTGCCTTAACATCAATAACTGCTGTTTGTGTTTCTTTTTTAGCTGCAGCGAATATAAAAAAAGGATGTAACCATATTCTAAACCTTTTTGATGTTTATTCTCTTTTTTTTCCAGATTACCTTTGCCAAGTAAGTCAGCTGACTGGACACACTTTGGAGGTAAGGCACGGCAAAATAAGAGCATTTCTTTTTTGATCTTCAATAAAACATAGTTGGTAAATGATCATGTAATGACAAATATAAACGGGATAATTTAAACAGTTTAGCATTCTGCTTCTTGCCTGAACTAGAGCTCCCTAGGACGTATAAGGAGGCTGGAATGGAGCTTTGCTGGTTTAGGGTCATCTGTCCTAGGCCTCTATTAATGTTGGATGTATAAGAGACACATATCACCCTCCCCTAAGATATGCTATTTCACATAAACTTGACACAAATTTGAACAATTATTCTCATCAGCGTTTTTCCTCAGATGTTTTCAACATTGATTGATTCTGGCACATCAGCCCCCAGCTTGTTTTTGGGGGGGATTTCAGGTCACCCCTGTTTACTAGTCAATCAAATACAGAATTACTATTGTGGCAATCTAAGCACTTGTACATAAAGGGATGCATGAGATGGTTTTAATTCTGCAAGTAGAAAACTGCTCCAGAAACTGTTACCACTCTCTGGGGGAGGGAACATAACTTCTTAATGTTAATTAATTTACCGTATTTTCCGTACTATAAGACGCAAATTTTTCCTATGCTTTGAACCATGCAGCTTATAATAAGTTGCGGCTTTTCTGTGGGTTTTTCCTCTTTACCAGCGGGGCAGGTCAAAGTTTGTAATGAAAGAAAAAGGGGCTAATTTTCATTTAGCACAAAACATGCTAGCAGCAGGCCTGATGGAAAACAAATGTACCGAATTGACACATTTTGGCATCTAGATGCCGCATTAAAGCTGTGGAACTAATGAAGAGACTGGGCTGAACTCCTGCAGAGCTGAAATAAAGATTTGACCAAGCCCCATCTTTCAGTAGAAGCTCTAAGCTCCAACAAGCTAACAGGAGCTAGCATTCTTCTTCGTCCCTACTCCAGGGCCTATATGTAGAGCTCGCCCTACAGGTTTGGTGGGAGATGGTTCAGTAGATTTCAGCGACTTGGAGCCTGGTGTGGCTTATATATGTACGTTTCTGTGTTTCCAAATAAATTAGTGGGCACAGCTTATAGTGAGGTCCGCTCTGTAGTCCAGAAAATGCAGTATATTGTTTAACATCCGTTTAGTCAGAGCTAAATTATTTTTTATCCAGAAATATCCAGTAATTCTTATTGGATATTTTTCCATGAAACCACAGACAGAAGTGAATGTTGAAAATTAATTTGAATTCTAAGAAAGAAAAACCTAAAAAAGAAGATGGAGACTTTATAAGTAGCTTCAACGATGCATGGATGTGAGTTACCGTTTCTGATCAAAACAAAATGTATTTTGTTGTTTTAAAGAGTTTAACCGTCGGCTCTCAGTTGATTAGACTAACTTTGCCTCTTAGTGCAGAGCTTACATGTTTTCTAAGCTGTGCAGTCAGGGAATCATCAGAGGAGGACCAGTGATTTGTCACATGCTCTGAGACATGATCGGTATGTTAAAGTGTTACCAAGTTTCAGCTGAGGTTTATCAAAACAAAATTCCCACAGTTCAGATGAATTCCTTCCATTTAGAGATTTGCTTCTTTTGTTTGGATGCCAGGCCACAAGAATCTCATTTTCTCCAGCTGCAGACCCCAGCAAAATAAGAAAAAGGGGGCTACGACTCTGCACGCCAGTGTGTCATTATTTAATAATCCTTCCTGCTTCTCCTGATAGAAGTCATGTCATTTCTATTGAACCTAAACAAGTCTGCTGAAGGGGAGAAGCTGTTTCAGGACTGCCTAAGCTATGCAAAAGTTTCTCCACCCACTGAAGTTTTTCTTTTTCCACTTAAATGTATTTCTTGTCGATTTCATCTGCCGGTTTTTCACTGTGTGTCTTTTATGTGTAGAGCTAGATGGTAGAATTGTTTTTCTACTCTTATTTCCAACAGAAATCAGGCTTCATCAGCTGGATGAAGATTATTCTGGACTATTAAAGTCCTACAGATTATCTAACTATTTTAAATCTGGACTTTGACTAGGCCCTCCAAGACATGAATATCCTTTGACTTAAGCCATTCTATCGCTGCTCTGGCTGTATGTTTAGGGTTGTTATCCTGCTGAAATATTAGGGGTGGAACGGTTCACAAAATCCCTGGTTCGGTTCGGTTCACGATTTCGTGGTCACGGTTTTCGGTTCGATTCGGTAAATGTCGATTGTTAGCCTGACATGTTGGTCGTGTTACTGTTAGAATAAATAAAACGTGTTGCACAATGCTTGCACACTGTTTCACTTTTATCAACAACTTTCTTTCCGCTGTCATCGTAGGTCACTCTAAATGCAAAGCGGTCCCATACAGCAGACCTATAAAGTGCTGCTGGCGCGTCTTCCAACTCCTGTTCTTTCCCACTCGCCATACCCACACAATTCTCTATAACAACTGATTTTTTTCTGCTACACCCGGCTACGCTGCTTCGCTTCTTCTTCTTGTTTACTACTGGTGGTTGGCTTTGGTCGCAGTACTGCCACCTTCTGCTCTGGAGTGTAAACGCTTCGCCTATGAGAAAAAGGAGCAGCGCCTGAACCGAACGCAACACACGCGAACCGAACCGAGACAGTCCAAGCGAACGGTTCGGACGGTTTTCATAAACTGTTCCATCCCTATGAAATATGAACCTTGAAATGTTTCCAAGTTTGCCTTATCCATTTTCCATTAACCGTCCCCACAGTATGACAGTGGCACCACCGTCTACCCTATAAGCGTTGTGTTTTTAGAAATGATAACGGTGTTAAGCCGGGCATACACTGTACGATTTTTTTTCTTTACCACTTTCTTGCCGATTTTCCAGTCATGCAAGACTTTTTCGATCAAGTCGTCTATCAGCCTGATCTTGTGTCGTGTAGTGGACAGGAGGTAACAACAGTTGATCAGCCTCTCACGACCCCCCCCCCCCCCCCCCCCCCCCCCCTCCTGTTTAGGAATCATAGGGTCGGTAAAAAATCAAACATGTTTGAAATTCAGTCGGCTGTCGTAATGTCGCATCAGAGCGTCAGGTGTCACATTGTGAGAACATGCATCATGAGCTGTGAACTTTTAAACTCTGTGGTTTTGTCGCACAGTTTGAGCTGTAGCTGATTGAAAATATTGCACAGTGTATGTCAGTGACCTAAAGAACAGTGTAAGTTTTTTGTTTTTTGTTTTTTTTTTACATTTAGGCTGTTTTAGCCAGCACACTTTCCTCAAAATATTTTCTGTGTCCTATTTGAATTTTAGCAAACGACAAACAAAATCTTTTCTATATGTTGATCTGACAAGAAATTGAATTTTTTCTCTGGCCCCTTCGTGACCACAAGCAGATTTGTCTTGTGCACATAGTTATATAGATGGTAGTCAGCAGGACAGATATTCCCAGAGTGTTGGATCTCTGCGGCTCTCCTTGATGCTCTCCTCTCATGTCCTTTCTGTTTAGGTGGAAGGCCATGTTTTGGTAGATTTGCTTTAGTTCTTTGAAATTGTAAGGCGGAGCGATGGAAGGGCGGACAACCCACCAACTGATGTCATGTGTGACCTCTAACAAAGGCAAGATAAAACAGGACTTGTTATTTTAGAAACGCCAAAAATGGACGTCCTCTTTGAAGGTTACTGTAGTCATGATAATGCAGTTCATCTGAAGAAGGATCGCTTCTACATCTGAAGAACATTCAACAGTCTCTAAAAATAAGCAATCCAGATTTCTGATCTTCCACCTAAATGCCTTCTGCCTCCATTTTCTTCTCTTAAGTCTCTTGTTCTCTCCTTCTTAACAATGGAAATGCTTCCTTTTTTTTCTCAGGCTCGGCTCCTCTGGACGAGCTCCACACGCTGCGCAGCCAGCTGCTCCTGCTGCACAACCAGCTGCTGTACGAGCGCTACAAGAGGGAGCAGCACGCCGTCCGCAACCGACGGCTCCTCCGACGGATCATCAATGCCACTGCGCTGGAGGAGCAGAACAATGCAATGGCAAGTTTCACAGTGGTTGAAGCTAACATGCAATACTTCTTTCTCACCTAAACAGGATTAACATCAGGATAGAATTAAAGTCGTAGGGAAATAATATTTAAATGTCAAATCATTCTGGCTTAAACATGTATGTAAATGTACTCTTTATCAGACCATATTGTCCCAAAATGTAGAAAATTTCTATATCCTGTCTTAAAATCTGTGGGTTATTTTATTTTATGCAGGCCAGTTAGTTATATGTCAGCTTGTACACCTAAATTTGACCAATCTTATATTAATGGTCATCTGTCAATCAAATTGTTTCAGTCATAGCATCTTGATACATATGTCGCAACTAATTTACACAACCGTTTAAATAAGAAATAAGAATCATTTCCTTTTCAATTGAGTTGCATCCCAGTGTTCACAGGGATGGACATCTGTGTCTTGGCAGGCATAGAGCTAACAGAACTGGCAGCGTTGCGAGGCAAGGGCTCAAACATGTACGGCTTCTACACCAAACCAAGCTTCTGCCGCCCTGGCATCCTCTTTCACTACGTCTTCGTCCCCACTTTATTCCTCTAAATAAAAAATGGATGTCAGAGGAGAGTAATCCACGACCTCTGGCACAAAACTCTGCTCCTCTTGCATGTTTCTGCTGTCCATAGCGATTCTTGACAGTGTCGTTTCTAAGTCACCAATTTAGTGCTAGCACTAAGTTGCTAACTGGTTAGCAAGATGCTTCCGACAAACCGGCCACAACCAAACTGCTTGCGAAACTTCCACCACAACAATCCAGCCTCCCTAATAAACGACCAATCACATTGACTTTATTCACTCGTGTAAAGTTGGGCACCACCTGGGAGAATTCGGAAATGCATAGATTAGAATAGCCGTTTCCTTACGACTTTAAATTTAATGAGCTTTAAATATTAATCCCAAAAGAGAGCCAACATTTTTTAACTCCAGTGTATTTACAGGTGAAGCTGTGTGAATTATTGGAAAAAGGGCTTATTTCATTTAGTTTATTCTACCCATAAACCAGTTTGACATTTAGGTTCATTGTAATAAGTCTGCAAAAGACTAGTATACCGTACTAGAGAGACTAGTATACTAGAGAGACTAGTATACTAGAGAGACTAGTATACTAGAGAGGAGTGCAAAGATAGATTTAAGAAGTTGATTGCATCTCCAAACTCCACTGCTGCTGCTAGTTTTGTTGCAAGGATGGAAAACCGCTCACAGATGGAACAGGTAGAGCTCTGATGCAGGTGTGGGAACTTTCTTCCATTTTTTCCCAAATCTTAAAAAATATAAATCAAGGAACGATGGTGACGTAGGATGTGGGATTTCAGGGTTAGAGCTCTGCTTTAATGGATGTCAGTTCCTGCTTGGTTCCTCACGACTCAATCAACTCCTTCCAACAAAACACATCCACCATAGAAAGATTCCTTTATGTGACATTTGCTCCAGGATAAACATTTAATCATGAACGTGTTGCCTTAAGAGGCGTACATTCTTATTTTTTGTTTTTTTTTGGTCCAAAATGGCTCTTTGAGCAGTTTGGGTTGCCGACCCCTGCTGTAGCGCTTAAGCTAATTGGTTAACTTCTGAAAATATTCAAATTTATAAAGATATACTTATAGAACTTGTGGTGCGCTGTTAATTCAGCTCTTTTAACCGCTGCATTTGTTTTCTAATTGGACACCTGTGTGTGCTTTCTGGGTGCACCTGTGCAGAAGGACCAGATGAACCTGCAGAGCGTTGACATCACGTCTCTGAGGGACAGCCTGCAGGTGGAGCAGCAGCGATACCGGCAGCTGTGGGAGGACCGGGAGACGGTGGTGACCAGGCTGCACAGTCAGATCCGACAGCTGCAGCAGAGCCGGGACGATTACTACACCAAGAACCAGGAGCTTCAGGTGCAGACGCGCTAAACGGCAGGAGTATTTTAGTGCTGGGAGAATCCAGCATAAACTGCAACACCGCTCATTATTAATCGGGATGGTTTTTTACAGAGCAAGTTACAGGAGTGTCAGAAGAGGATGGATGACCTGGAGGCGGAGCTTCAGAGGGCCAACAACAAAGTCTGCCACACAGGACACCTTCTAAACCAGATGACTGTCAAGGTAAAGATGCAGAGACACTGTCTGCGCTCATTTCTTTAGCATTATCTATAAAGAAACACCTAATAGTTTAATGTGAAAGACTGAAAATGGTTTGAAATAAGTTCAGTTGACTGGATGTAAACATCGGTTCTCATAAGACTCTAAATGATAAATTATTTACTCCTTCCATTAGTTTATTAATACACTTAATACGGCTCTTTGAATTTAAGGAAAGGGTAAAGAATGACATTAAAAGACTGATATAGCTCTGATTACAACGTATGGTAATAAATCTTTCTCCATTTGTTCAGTGTTCATGATAAATACTGTTTTATAGGTAATGTGGAGGTTAAGTTAGGTTGACTTAAAGAACAAACCAAATAACAGACTTCTGTTATTTTTTGGCTAATTGCTTGTTTGTCCTTCCATGTTGTGGTTTTGTCTCCTTCGTCCTTCAGCTGCGCAACAGCGAGAGCACCCAGCAGCAGATGAGCTTCCTGAACAAGCAGCTGCTGCTCCTGGGGGAGGCACATAAGCTGTCCATGCAGGAATCCCAGCATGCAGGGAGGAGTAACACAAAGGTTTGTTGGAAAGAAATGTTCGTGTGACAGATGCAGAGAATTTGGGCAGGAAATGAAATAATTTTACTTTATGTGGTGTATATCCAATCAAAGTGCAACATTTCTAACTTATGTTTTGGGGGGTTTTTTTATCTAAAGAACTCATTTTGTTAAATAAAAAGTTATCAAAAATCCAACTCCACAGAATGTTTTTAACCTCAAAGTTAAATTTGTTCCTCAAATTAGTTAGAATTTATGCTAAATACAGATTTTCCCTAGAGCTGTTCTTTGTTGGCATATTATAAATTCATTAAATCCTTGAATCAATCCTTTTTTGCCACATCTGTATAAAAACCAAGGAATCAAAGTGAGACAGGTTTCTCACCATTGTGCTCTCAGCAGCGCTGAAATTCCGGCTGCTGCGTGAATTATTTTTATCAGCATATTGGCCATTTGACGGACGTCGATGCTCCCTCCCCCTGGAGTTTCTAAGCACAAACACTGGTTGTGCTAAGAGTTATCTAAATCACTCTAAAAGTAGATTAATGCAGAGACTTTTAATGAGTGTAACGGCTGTGGAAACATGTTTTTAAACACATTTACTCAGGCTTTTAGTTAGGAATATTTCATAGGGTGCACACCTTGATGTATCAGTTTTAGGCTTTGTGCAGCATATGGGGTTCTGGGAGTATCTCCCCCTGGAAAATGTTGAAATTTAGACTCTCTGAAATGCTACTTCCTTCATTTTGAGGTGGAATGCTGCTGTTACAACATAACATTTGTCCTGATTATAGGAAGTATGTGTGCTGGACTAGAGGTGTAAATTTCATAAGGAAGACATGAGATCATTTTTAGGTACAGTATTATATTTCATAGGTTAATTCGAACAGTCAGAAAGTGTAATGCTACGTTCACACCTAACGCGCTTTCAGCACCAAAAAGGTGCCTGCTGCTTCATTTTTGATGTTTGTACAAAAGAAGTTCAAATGCACCTCAAGAGCATCTTTGATGCTCCCGAGGCGTGTCCAGTAAAGTGTGTCCAGATGCGTCTGATGATTCTTAAGCATCTGAAAGCAGCTTTGCTATATTTGCTGTGATAAGCTGGTATACGGTAGTTTTGATATGTTTTTATTGGTAGAAAGTCTACCTACAAACATCGTCTGTGCAGTAAGTTCTTTGAGATTATGATCCTGCCTTAAAATTTTATTTGGCCGTCGGAGCCGTGCAAAAAATAAAATATTTATCCGTACCATTTAATTTCCTCTTATAATGAATTGTTAACTACTTAAGATATAAACTATAGGACTTTGGAGTTTTGATTTGTAAGTAGACTTGAGATTAAATGTTTTGACTTGACTCTGAAGACTTGAGACCTACTTTTGACTTGGCAAGTAATGACCCACACCTACTCCAGCTGGTTCAGCTTTAAAAAAGCTTTTTTCTTTATAATATGAAGCATCAGCAGCATTTTAAGGTGTAAAATCTCTTTATTACCCAGACCTAATATTCAAAGCTCTCCTACAAGCAGTTGATCATAACTTGTGTTTTGCTGCATCATGCTTGCTCTCCTAGGAGACCCAGATGCTGCAGATGTCCCATGTGAAGGAAGTGGACACACTGAGGCAGAGTCTGCTGGCTCAGGGACAGAAACTGGAGGCGGCACAGCAGCGAGTGGCCGAGCTGGAGACCCATCTCTCCAAGAAGGAGCACCTCATCGCAGAGCAGAAGAAGTTCCTGGAAGATGTAAAATGCCAAGCAAAGTGAGTGTCCGTCTGCTTGGTTCCTTCTTCAAGACTTTGTCATACATGATGCAAAGACAGTTCAATTCAGTTTTATTTATGTGTGGCAACGCATACATACATATCGTATGATCCTAGTGATAAATCGAAGGAACATGATGCACGCCAGTTGCATGATTCTCCTGAGCATCTCGACTGTCAGCTCTCTTTCTAACTTCCTGACTTATTTCTTCTTCTGTGCAGGGCGGAACTGCAGGCTTCAGACAGCAGGTATCAGGCTCAGAGGAGAATCACTCAGCTGCTGCAGACCGAGCTCCTGCAGCTCTACAGCCGAGTGGAGATGGAGGCTCCAGCCGGCCCCTCCGGCGCCACCAGCAGCAGTTCACCACCAGAGGGCAGAGCTGACTCACATATTCACGCAGACTCCAGGTCAGATTGGTGTTAATCCTGCTTTTCACTCAAAAAACTACATTTTTCAAGCTTTCCTCTCTGTTTATGAAACCCTATGTTTGAAAACATTAAAATTCATGAAACAGATTTCTTCCTTTTTTGTTAACAGAAATGTTTAACTGAAAGTGAACAATACAATCAGCAAATTAAAGCAGATTCTTTATTCTGTCTTTAGACCCACTTTTACTAATTGGCTTTTAACACTGCATAAGTGTGGGGTCCTTTGTGTCCTTTTTATTTATTTGATTTTAAAATCTTACTGCTTTTCTGTGTTTGTTTTTATTAATTTTTTTATGTGCAGGACATTGGAAACATTTTCTGTAGTTAAATGTGCTATATGAATAAAGTGGATTGGATCTTTATTTCATCTAAAGAAAATCATACAGAACATATTTTATGGTTTTAGATACAAGGACAATTTTTGAAGTTTTTGTGTGCTTGTTAAACTAATAGATCTGTTGTTGTCTTTGTGCTGCAGCGTCCCTGATGCAGGCGGACATCTTGCCAATGAGGAACCGGAGAGTAGATCACCCCATGATTCCCCTCGGGGGACCAATGGCAGCACTTTATCACCAGGGCAACCAAAGGCCTGCAGCTCTTCCAAGCCCACAGCCAATTCCATAAACGGAGGTCAGGACCTGACCCCTCCCCTGCTGATGGAGCCGTCCCCATCCTGCCGCCACCCAAAGCCGCTGGCCTCCCTGCCGGCATCAGACACGCCGCTCACCGTGGGCTCATACCCCAGCGCCAAGACCTTCCTGGGCATGAAGACGCGCGAGCTGTTCCGCAACAAGAGCGAGAGCCAGTGTGACGACGAACAGCCGCTGCCACCCCTCGCCGGCCTCGCCCACGGTCTGAAAACTGAGCTGTGTATGGAGCCGGGCTCAACCCCTGCCGCTCCCGTCACTGTGCACGCCAAGGTGCCCACATCTGAGCCCAGACTGCGACCTCCCGGCCAGGGTAGCCCCCGCAAGAAGGCTGGGCCCGGACCGGGCGGCGGCAGGGGCCCGGGAGGGTCGGTTCGCCCCCGGCAACAGCAGCTAAAGATCATGGACTACAATGAAACGCATAACGAGCACAGTTAAAAAAAATTTGGGCTGGACGAAGGGCAGGACTGAAAGAGACTAAAACTGAACCACGGAGAAAAGCTACAAATCAGCAGAAGAGTCAGACGTCCATAACTTTTTGGCATTCAGTGTTATTTGTCCTCTGAGTGAACAGCAGGATTTCCCTCCTTCCTTTTTTTTCTTTTTAAGAAACAAAAATCATTCCTATTAAAAATACAAAATCACTGAAACGTGCAGAACATTTGACTTTTAAAATATTAGCTGGAAAAGACAAGTTACTGGTAAAACGAAATCAAATCTATTATTTCCTCCTTGAAAACTCAGGTTGGATTTATCATACCTTCAAGATGTTTTTGAATTTGGATTATGAAATTAAACTAAAGAATCTAAAAATGATTTTTGAAATGTTTTAAAATCTAATTTTCTAATCCGAGTCTCCGGCTGGTTTCTTATTTCAAGAAACCTGGTTATCTCCAAGTCGCTAACTGAGCAGGTTTTCCCAAGTTTGAGTCTTCTGGCTCTGTCAGACACACTCTGAAGACGTAGGAGTATTAATGAGCTAATCTGAAACATTTCTATGCTAGCTTTAACTGTCGGGAAGAAAAGGTTGCCAAAATATCCTGAAGAAAGCAGACTGAATGTAAAAACTCACGTCCCACTTTTCCTGGATTCTGTTGTTTTGTTTTGATATACATTGTGCTCCCTGGTACAAAAGATTTCTATATTTTTCCAGGTAAATAATGCCATTTCCATAAACATCTGGTATAACAGGTTTCCTGCATTTAGTTTAGTTTTTATCCAATTCTCTGCAGCTGATCCTGAAAGTTGCATAAAGCCTGTTGTCCACTGGGAACTCCTGCTGTCATTTCCTTCTGCCTCGCTTTCTGAAGCATGTTCAACAATCCTCTTTAAATGCCAACCGTAGTATCTGCAGGAAACCACAAACAGAAGGTACAATCAGCACAAACATACAGCATCCAGGACTCTGAGCAGAGCTGGAGAAATCTGGGACAAAACTGCGACAAAAAGGAGGAGGTTCATAAAGCAGTGGCTTGTGTTTAACTGTGAACAATAAAGATCGTCTTCAATGTTTTGCACTACAATTTGTTTCTCTTTTGTCATCTGGTTCCCCCTTTGCAAGCATCTCATCAAAGATGTAAAGATGCACTAAAATCAAGATTTAATTCTTCTCTGCGTTTTAAAGTCATGGTTTGATACACTGATTTAGAAAAGCAAATAATTTTTTTTTTTACCAACGGTGATCAAAATTCAGGACAAACGTTCTTGCCAGATTGTTTTACAAGAAGGAGGAAAATGCTTCTAGGAGAAGGTGCAGCCCACAGAAAGCAAACATACAGCTGATGCAAATACATTTGGCATAAACAAAATCAACTTGTACAGGAATTATATCAGAGTAGAGACAATTAGTGCAATTAAAATATACACCAAAAAAGAACTTCCACATGTGCAGAAAGTTCATATTATATATTTGTTTTCTTTTTTTTGCAAAGGTAAAGTGTCAGTAGGGGTCCTGGGTCTTGCTGATGAGGATAGCAGCAGATGGGAAGAAGCTATTTTTCTGGTGGAAAGTTTCAGTCCTGAAAGGCTGCAGCCCAGTGTCTAAGCGGCGATTCTGGAACAGCTAGTTTCCAGGGTGGGAGGAGTCCGCTGCAACCTCTCCTGCTCAGCCCTGGGTTGCCCTTGTCCATGGTGGAGGCAGCAGTGTACTGGGTGGTGATGGAGAAGAGGATGGGTTCAATCCATGGTGGAGGAGAAGAGCACCATCATCGTCTCCTGCAGGCTGAACTCCTCCAGCTGCAGCAGGAATCGTATCCTCTGCTGAGGGAGGCGATGGCGGTGTCCAGGAAGTAAATGGCATCCACAGTGGGGATGTAGAGTCAATCAGGGGGATGGAGAAGGGTGGGCAGTGCTTTTATTTCTAAAAACCACGGGCGTCTTTAAATTTTCCTAGTGTTGTACTCCAGACTGTTCTGGCTGCACCAGGTTACCAAATTACATAATTTAAGTTTAACTTTACTACATAAAACGCTTAAATTTATTACGTCATTAATGCTTCAGGGAGTGGACATGGTGTAGGATCTGTTAGTCTCAACCTGAGACCTTTGAGGTACGTGGGATGAAATTATTGGGTTTCACCTCTGGACTTGAGCAACAGCTGGGATTTTACAAGTAATAAGGATAAAACTGTTTTTTTTTTGTTTTTTTTTTTCTTTTAAAGGGAACTGAGAAGAAATTGAGATTTTTTCCTAGTTTTTATTTCATCAGGAATAATTGCAATAAATAAAATGAAACTAAGTACAAATATTTTTTCTAAATTTACAAAAAAAACTTCACATAATTCTAAAATAGACATAAATCACGTGGCCTTTAAGAATGGTGAACTCCCTAAAGCAGGTATTATTCAGAACTTTTAAGTTGTGTGTTTTTAAAAGGCATGTTAGCTGTGTGGCTCTAAACCAGGGGTCACCAACATTGTGCCCGCGGGCACCAAGGGGCCCTCAAGGACCACAAGGGGTGTCCTTGGAGTCTTCTAAAAATAGAACTCAAGTGAGCTATGTTTGAAATTTCACTGTATTCTGTTGCTCTTCTTTTTTTAATTGGGTTATGGAACATTGAATCATATATGGCATTTAAGCATTTATATAGATTTCAAAATGAAATTGTCTAAAAGAAAATTAGAAATTTAAAGAAACGATAAAGATATGTTTATAATGTATGAAGTTTAGGTGAACGTTGACCCTTGTAATTCATAGGTCAGTATTGGTAGCCCAGTACCCCTGAATTAGCCCTCAACTGTAAAAAGGTTGGTGACTGAGGGCAGAACGGCTCTTTGGGTTGAACAGGTTCCAGACCTCTGGTCTAGTCAAAGTCCAGACGTAAATTCTGCAAAACAATAGTCACAAGATTTAAATGTTCCATTAAATTTGTGGGGGATTGGGCTATTTTTCTTAAAGGAAACCTGCCTCTAAATGTTCGAAACATGTGGAGGCTTAATTCTAAACACAGCTGCAGTAATCCAGCAGAATACTGACTGGATTACTGCCTAATATACAGGGGCGGATTTAGGAAATTTGGGGCCCTAGGCAAAGGCAGGCAGGGGGCCCTATGAATGTAGTCCCCAAAGTCTCCAGTAGCAAAAAAAAGTCGCTAGATTTGGCGCAAGGCCCTTTTTTGAAATAGAGGTGCTAGAGGAGCCTGAAAAGTCGCTAAAGTACGACACTGCTTTTTGCATCATTTTTTTCAAATGGTTTGCTGCTGTCCTTCTAGCGAAAGGATTTTTATCGAAAACATAATTAATGTGCACAAGTAAGGAATAGGTGTGTTAACCATACATGTTAACAGAGTTTTATGGGGCCCCCAGGAACTTGGGGCCCTAGGCAACTGCCTAGTATTGCCTAATGGTAAATCCCCCCTGCTAATATACACAGGTTAGTGTCACTAAAAGAATTTGACTGATGATTTGTTTCAGCCCTTCATCATCCTGGATGTTTCCCTCCTAAATATTGTCTTTAATCCACCAGAGGACACTGTTGCTCTAGAAACCATCCCCTGATCATTTCTGCATCCATGTAGGGATCAACAGGTCCAGCTGCCCAGCAGACAGAGAGCCAGTCTGTCATCATATTATATACATATCATATGTATATAATGTTAATTTAACCCAATGTTAAATGTTTTTAATTTTATTTATTTGGGTCCGTGTGGTTTGAAGTTTGATTATATTTTCCAAGATACATTTTTCCCTTTTTATCTGGTACTTATTAATTTATGCCAAAGCATTTAACATGTAGACCAATGGGCGTTCAGACTTAAGTAAGGGAAAACTATCAAAGGCATCAACTTAGGAAAATACATTATTATTTTTTTCAATTCAGAGGTATTTATGAGAATTAAATGTATTTTCTAATGTTCTGTGATTTTGTTAAAAACTTTGGGTTTTGAAAATATGTTAAATCGGGATATTTTTTTTATGTAATTCGATGTTTGGGATGAGGTTTTCTTTTCTTGTATAAACTTGTTCTGATTTCACAATCGATGTATGGGCTGTTGTTCACATTTGAAATAAAAGTAAAAGTTTTATCCAATTTTAAAAACATTTTATCTGCTAAATTAAAAAGGACTGTCTCACAGCAGGAAAATTATTCTTACCCATTTCTTTGTGATTTGCGGCCAAAATGTCTATTCTTCTAATCTTTATTTTTCAGCTATACATCAGTTGGTTGATGGTGGGAGTTTAAAAATATTGGAGTATGGCAAATAACTATGAATTTAAATATTTAATCAGGTATAAAAAAAAAAAAAACAGATGTTTTTTGGCTGCATAACAAAACCTCTTTCTATGTTGCCTGTGTGTGGATTTGTTTTGTATGGACAAATGTTACTGTGCTGTTTTTGCTTTAAGGTTTTGCTTCCAAACACCCATTGATTCTTTTTATATTTTTTTAGTAAAACTGACTGAATATTATTAGTTTATCAAATGGGTGCATATGTACTGCATGAGAAAGAGAGAGGCCAAAAAAAAAAAGTAATATGATTAATTTACCAGCAATCCACAGGGTCAAGGAAATTGATGCCGGATAATTGGGCACATAGGGAATCCTTGGCAATTTGTGCTTTCAGACTCTACTTGAGAAATTAGATGTCAGTGCAAATGTGAAATTGCTCCTCAATGTTCTCAAAGATTCCATGAAAATTTAAATATAAATCTTAAGTATTTCCAGCCAAAGGGATTCTTTCACTTTTTTTTTTTCTTATCCTGACTTGAAATAAAGTCCTGTTCATGAAAAGGATCCGAATGAAACGAAAAGTGTGCGAGAAGGGGAGGAAAAAGACATCGGGGCTCGTGTAAAAGTTCGAAGCTGTTGCTCTCAGTAAAATCCTCATGCAAGAATTTATAACACTCCTTCTGACAGGAAGTACAGCTTGAATCTATCTAAAGACGAGTGATTATAATATTCAACGTACCTATAATGTAAATCATAACACGGCTGTTGCAGCGTTCGCCTCTTTTATCAGTGCGGGAGACGGGTGAGAATAAATTAGAAATAGAAGGAAAGTAGCTTGAATTCGAGGTTACGGAGTTAAAAGTTGTTTCAGTTTGTGTTAAAGTTGAAAACTTTTAGCTGATCTATTATTTTCAATGTACCTTTTTTTACAGTATCACTGTGTAGCTAAAGGTCACAGGGGGGATAAAGGTCAACTTCATACATTTGATATATTTTTTGTGAATTTTTATCATTTTAGAGTCAGAGGGAATTTGTCCTCCCAAATAATTTATTTTATAAATTTTTTTTCCAATAAATGTTTAGATCATGAAATAAATTTTTTTTCAGATAAATATAATCTGAGCTAATAAAAATATATATTTCTAAATGATTTAATTTATTAGTGAATAATCTTTTCAATCAAACCAGTCTTGATGTACAGCATGTATCGTTCACCTATGTAGATGATAAAGTAAATATGCTTAACCAAAGCTGAGATCAAAATAACCACATTGCTCCAGGACCTTTACACTGCAAAAAATTGAAATCTCAATAAGTCAAATAAGTGAATTTTTTCTTGAATTGAGGAGGTAAGTGGGTCACTTTGCCAACGGAACAAGACGATTTACATTTAAAATAAGAAAAAGCAAATGCATTGTCTTATTTAAAGTACATATTATCTATTTGTATTATTTTATCAGGAAAAAACCTCATTCCATTGGCAGATCATCTAATTTACCTGCTCAAATTAAGACTAAATACACCCAATTTAAGAAATTTCTACTTATTTCTAGAAGGTTTTTGCAGTGTAGGATTAAGAATAAGAATATTCCTTTAATAGGACCTGTCTGACAACACGAAGTAGACTAAAACAGCTGAAACAGCGACAGGAAATCTAAAACAGATGATGGAAAATGTTACTGACATTCTCTATAGTCTGTAAAATGTTACAAAGTTATTTCCAAGGAGAACCTTGCAGGGAGTGATGAGCAAAACAAACTTACCCTGACAGCGCATAAGCAACTCATCCAAGAGGCCATAAAGAACTGAAAGCAACAAATCTTCAGGGTTCAATCGTCTCATTTAAGGTCAGAGTT